GAAAAAAAAAAACATTATGGCATTTGATTCTTAGAGGACCCAAACCAACATAGGGATCAGTGAAAAGATACTGGAAGAGAGTTCATAAATAAGACTGTAGATACACTTGCAGAAGAGATTTATGTATAAAGATGTGCTGGATCCATTCTTCCAAACCTTTGTGCACACAAATCACCTGGGAATGGTGTTGAAATGGATTCTGGTTCAATAGGTCTGGGGTGGACCCAAGATGCTGTATTTCTAAGAAGCTCCCAGGATGTACTGATGCTGCTGGTCCAGGGACCAGAGTTTGAGCAGCAAGGTGCTGGAATCTTTATTTGCCCCACTCGGTCTCTCCTCCCTGGGAGGCTGACTGTGAGGGCCACATCAGTAGGCTCTGAACCTCAGGCTAACAGTTATGTTTGGCCAATGAGGAGCATTGACAAGAGATCAGAGGGCAGGAGGAGGATGAGGTCAGAGGTTTTTATTCCTTTGGGGATTGCTTCCTACTGGGTTGCCGTAGGATGGCTGCATCCCTCTACCAAAGGCCCAACTCCTATCAGGTAGATCTCTCCAGTTTTCTCTCTTGCAGAATTCCAGTAACTGCTCTCTCCCTTTCCCCCTTCAGGCCTGGGGTGGTGATGGCTCCCTACTGTTGCCAGCCTCTGAGTACTGCAACATCCCTTGTAACTCTTAGTAAATACTGCCCACATGTCTGTAATTAGTTCTTTAGTAAATGGTCCTCATTTCCTCAGCCAAATGTGCCAGCTGTCTCCTGCTGGGAACCTGACTGCTACAAGTGCTGTTCAATGCAGAATTTTTTTTTATAAGAGCAGAAAACTGGAAACAACCTAATTGTGCATCATTAAAAAATGATTAAATAAATTACGGTACATCTGCTTAATGGTGTTACATGCAACAATTAAAGAGGATGCAGTAGGGACGTCCCTGGTGGTCCAGTGGTTAAGAATCCGCATCGCAATGCAGGGGACTTGGTTCGATCCCTCCTTGGGGAACTAAGATCCCACATGCCGCAGGGCAACTAAGCCCACGTGCCACAACTACTGAGCACTCGGGCCACAACGAGAGCCCGTGTGCTACAACTAGAGAGAAGCCCGCGCCTGGCAACAAGGAGCCTGCACACCACAACTAAGACCCAACACAGCCAAAAAGAAAATAAATACATATATATTTTAAAAAAAGGATGCAGTATATCTATGTTCATGAAAAGATGCCCAAGCCATTTATTTAATGAAAAAAGGGCAGGGGAATATTCAGAATAGCATGCATAGTAGGAACCCACTTCTTTAAAAAGTAAAACAGTAAAATATGCATTTGTTAAGGCTTGGATTGCAAGTGACAACACCCCTGCTCAAAACAAACCTAACCAAAAAGAATGGGGGTGGGGGGTTCTGATTCCATCTTTTTCTATCACTTGTCTCTGCTCTTCTGTGTGGCGGCTTCACTCTCAGGCAGCTTGTCTTCAAGTGAGGGCAGAGCGAGCCCCAGCCTGGCTTATGACGTCCTGACAGCTGACAACCTTTAACAAAAAATCCTGCACTGAAGGAATTGGAATGAGCTTGGACATACGCTAATCACTGAACCACGTGGACTGAGAGTGGGGGAAGGAGGCTCCCGAAGAGAAAGAGGGTGTCTCTTCCCCAAGTAGGAGAGGCAGGACAGGTGTAAGCAATACAGATCCACTCTAGAGGGAATATTTGTAGTAGACATTTATTATCCTTTTTGGCTGCCCAGCATGGGAACCCCCTTCCTATGCTGGAGAGTCTCCTACCTTCTGGGGCACCCACAATGGAGCCCACCTCCCATTATACACGCTGAAAAAGCTAGAAATGCACTTTCCCAACTCCCTTTCTGCCAGGCAAAACACATGACCTGGCCAGGCCATTCAGATGCTCCCATCTCTGCCTTGGACTCTGAAGCTGGTGACACCAAAATGGGCCTGTGCAGACTCCATCCTGGTATAGGGTGCAGCCTGGCATGATTTGGGACATTGTTCTTGGTTGTGGGGCCTCCGGGGCTGGTTCTCTGGCCCCGTGGGATCTGTGAGCTATGAACAAAACCTCGTATTAAATCCCCTTTCTTCTTAAATTATCCAGAGGGTTAATTTCTGCTGCTTGCAATCAAGAACCTTGATTAATGCCTATAAGTAGGTGTGCATGTTTGAATATGTATGAAATATTTTTGGAAAGATAAAATAAATGTGAATATTGGTTACCTATGGGAAGTAGGACTGGGAAAGTGGGAAAGTGGAGGAGGAGGGAAAGAGGCTTTTGCTTTATGCCCGTTTGTATTGTTGGAATTTTTTTTTTTACCATGTATATTACTTTTACAGTGAAACAACTAGTTAGTAAAATATAAGAAAAGACACCTGAATAAATACAATAAGACAAGGAAGCAATTGCTCAGGATTTTCAAGGAACCAAGTCTTCATTAGACATTCAAAAGAAAGTCATCCTCAACTCTGTTGTGATGAACAGAGCCAAATGTGGAAATGAGTGACAGTGTTTGTTTAATTAATTAATTAGTTAGTTATTTTGGTTGCGCAACTTGCGGGATCTTAGTTCTCTGACCAGGGGTTGAACCTGTGCCCCCTGCAGTGGAAGCTCATGGAGTCCTAACCACTGGACCACCAGGGAATTCCCCACACCTTGTTTTATTGTGCTTTCCTTTATCGTGCTTCCCAGATGTGGCATCTTATAGACTGAAGGTGTGTGGCAACCCTGCATGGAGCATGTCTACCAGCACCATTTTTCCAACAGCATTTACCCACTTTGTGTCACTGTCACATTTTGGTAATTCTTGCAATATTTCAAACTTTTCATTATTATTATATCTGTTATGGTGGTCCATGATCAGTGATTTTTGATGTTACTATTGCAAAAAGATTACAACTCGCTGAGGGCTTAGATGATGCACTCTCTCCAAATGTTAGCATAACTTGACTGCTCAATTCCTTCAGGTCTCTTTGCAAATGTCACATTCTCAGTGATATCTTTTCTACCCAACCTATTATAAAATAACATCCCATCCTCTAACCCATTTACTTGGATTCTGTTATGTTCTATTTATTGTTTTAATAACATTCATCACCATCTGACAAGGTATTTACCTTGTTTGTTTTCTTAAAGACTATTGCACACTTACTAGACTACAGTATAGTGTAAACATAAATTTTACATGCACTGGGAAACCAAAAAGTTGCATGACTCACTTTACTACAGTGGTCTGGAACCGAACCCGCAATATCTCTGAGATATGCCTGTACCACCTCCCACATGGCTGAAATGATTAGCTCTATTACTGAATCTCACACACTCAAACACTTTCCATGACTCTCCATTACTCACAGAATAAATCTCTAGCACTGAAGCATTTTGCAGCCTGAACCCTGTGTACTTTCGAGACTTTTCCTCATTTTACGCTTCGCCTAGAAGACCTTATCTTCCAGCCCTGCCGGTCCATATCCTAAGGGCATTACCATCTTTGATCTGCCAAAGCCATGACCCTTATTCCTTCCTCATGCCCTCATCAAGTTTTGTTCTGTATTATAATTCTATATACTAGACTTAGTCATTTAACAGTCAAGTTAAATGACCTAGCACCTACCATATGTCTAGCTTTTTGCTAGGCTTTGGGACCATAGCTCACAGTCTGTGGAAACCAATTACCCCAGATCAGAATGTTAAAAGTCTGTTATCGCGATGAGAACGTAGTGTAAAGCAATTGGCTGGCAGGGCTGCTCTCGTCAGAGTCTTTCTCTTTCCCTCCGCCTGGATTGCACTCTCTCCAAATGTTAGCATAACTTGACTGCTCAATTCCTTCAGGTCTCTTTGCAAATGTCACATTCTCAGTGATATCTTTTCTACCCAACCTATTATAAAATAACATCCCATCCTCTAACCCATTTACTTGGATTCTTTTATGTTCTATTTATTGTTTTAATAACGCTCATCACCATCTGACGCACAAGTTACTTACTTGTTTGGTATTTAAAGCCTCTTTCCACTGTCAGGTCCAGGACAGCAGGGATTTTATTTTGCATCTTCTCCGGGGCCTAAAACAGTGCCTGGCACACAGTAGTCACTCAATAAATACTTGTTGAGAGTAGAAAGAGAATTGGACTAGATGTCAGAAGACCTGGGTCCTAGTCACAGCTCTCCCACATGACAGTCGTGTGGGCTTTAGCAAGACACATCCTCTTTAAGCCTCAGGTGCCTCCTCTGTAAATTGGGGGTGATCATCTCGGCCCTTCCCCACGGCTGACAGCACTGCTGTTAAGGATCAAACAGTGCGTCTCAAACTTTAACGTGCCTCAGAATCACCTGGAGGACTTGCTAAGATACCGGTGGCTGGGCTCCATACTCGGTTTCCTATTCAGTAGGTCTGGGTGGGATGAGAAAATGTGCATTTGTAAAATGTCCCAGACGGTGCTGCTTCAAGAACCACTGACGAAGAGAGATGAAGGTACAGGAGGTGATTGTAGGCCTAACGCCCGTCCCAGACAAGTATGGCACTGATGGCCCGGCAGGACATTCTGCGAGGACAGAGTGGACGCATCTGTTCCTTAATTCAGTCAACGGCCATTTAGGAGGCACCAGGTTAGTGCCGGGTGCTGGGGGAGGGGGGGGCAGCGGCGCGTGCCACAGGCCAGGCCCGTGAGCCCGTGGACTCAGACCCTGGCCCAGTGGTTGGGAGCTCGCAATGTGAGGAGGGCTGGGACGGCCGCTCGGACCTCCGCACGCGGCGGGAAGTATCCGGAGCAGCGGGGAGGGCCGCAAGCGGGCGCCGAGAACGCAAAGGTAACCTCGGGAGCTCGGCGGCGGACGCAGCTCGAAACTTCCCGGAACCCTCTGTCCAGCCCCCGCCCCCGACGCCGGCGATTGAGGCGTGCCCTCGCTCTGGGCGCGCGCCCGGCACACAGTAGGCGCGCGGCCCGGCCCTCCTCACGCGGCCGGCACACAGTAGGCGCGCGCGCGGGCGGAAGGGGGCGCCGGCGCGCGGTATCCGGGGGCGGAGCCGGCGGAGCCGGCTGGGTCAGCGGCGCAGACGGACGCGGGCCGCTGGCCGCGATGGGGGAGGGCGGATTGCCCCCGGCCTTCCAGCTGCTGCTGCGCGCCTGCGATCAGGGCGACACGGAGACGGCGCGGCGGCTGCTGGAGCCGGGGACTGCGGAACCGGCGGAGCGCGGCGCGGAGCCCGAGGCGGGCGCGGAGCCGGCGGGGCCCGAGGCGTCCGGGCCCGGGGCGGGGTCGGCGGCCGGAGCGCCGGTGCCGGTAGATTGCTCTGACGAGGCGGGCAACACGGCGCTGCAGTTCGCCGCGGCCGGGGGCCATGAGCAGCTGGTGCGGTTCCTGCTGCGACGCGGCGCCTCGGTCAACAGCCGCAACCACTACGGCTGGAGCGCGCTCATGCAGGCGGCCAGGTGAGGGGTCCGGGGCGCCGGGGGATCCGGGGTGGTGTCCAGCGGCCCCCGGGGCGCGGGCGGGCTCAGGCGGCCGGACCTGCCCGGCGGCCCCCCGCAGATGCCCCGGGAGGTAAAGAGTGAAGGACTGGTTCGAGAGAATTGGAATGGTAAACTTTGAGTAGCTTGGGATACGACGAGAAGTGGACGCTCTTTTTAATAAAGTAAATTCCGAATCTTAGAAACATTGGCCTTTCAAAACACAATCTGGAGACAGCAAATAGAATCTTAGAGACTTAGAACCTTAGTAATGTCCATTTATTACTTCTTGCAACAAGGGTTTTCTAAGAATCTACCTACCAACCCTAGCTTGGTGTTCGGGATGCTGCGGTACCCAGATAAAGTTCCCACTGGAGCAGCTCACATGCCATTGGGTAGGCCAGGTAAAGGAACAGCTTTCACGGGGAAAATTGGGGGAGCTTTTGGAGAGCAGACTCAGTTTCAGGAAGCGGGGGAAGGTTTCTGGTAAGGATGATGTATGTATTCAAGTCGAGACCTAAGGATACCTAAGAATTGACCTGGACGGAAGAAGTGGAAGGTGGGAATGGGGTGATAGGAGGCCCGTGCAAAGGTTTGGAAGCCAAAGTGAAATAGGCATTGGTAGGACTGCTAGAACGATGTTGTGGCTGGGAGAGCCTGGGAGTAGTGGGAGATGCACCGTGGCAAGGCTGCGAAAGGTGAGCTACCCTAAGGACACTGGGAAGTAATGGAAGTTTCTAGGCAGAGCAACTGACAGAATGAGATTTATGTTTGCAAAGATCACTTTCACTGCACCGTGAGGATGGATTGGAGGGGTGAGCTAGAATCGGAAAGGCTGGTTAGGAGGGGATTGCAGCAATCCAGGAAGAGGTGTTGGTGTCCTGGACCAGAGCAGAGATGGCGGTGTGAGAGCAAAGCAATGAGTTTGAGATGTACTCAGGAAGTAGGATGAACCGGACTTGAAACTCTGGTATAAAGAAACTCTGATATACAGTGAAGTCTCTCACTCCTGTCAGCCAACTACTTAGGTCCCACCCAGTTTCTTGGAGAAATTCCCCAAGGAGGGAACAGAAGTCATTTGTAATTTTGATGGATATTGCCAAATTGCTCTCCATACAGGTTTATTAGTTTCCTATGGCTGCTGTAACAACTTACTACAAAGCCAGCAGCAATCACATCACTCCAACCCCTGCTTCGTCATCACATCTTCTGCCTCCTTTGCCTCCCTCTTCCACATTTAAAGGACCCTTGTGATTCCACTGAGCCCACCTGGATAATCTCCCCTATCTCAAGGTCAGCTGATTAGCAACCTTAATTCTATCTGCAACCTTAATTTCCCCTTTGCCACGAAACCTAACATATTTACAAGTTCTGGGGATTAGGATGTAGACATCTTTAGGGAGCCCATTATTCTGTTGACCACAGTAGTATTAACCAGTTTACCCTCCTGGCAGCAGTGTATGTGAGTGCCTTTTTTTTCCTGCAGTCTCTCCAACAGAGTATATTATCAAACTTTTGAATTTTTGTGTTTGATGAGTGAAAAATATCTCAGTGTGGCTGTGACTTGCATTTGTTAAACAGAGTGAAATGAAACATCCTTCCATATGTATGAGCCATTTGTTTTTCTAAAAGGCGTTGAAATCACAACATTCTTACCCATAATCTTCTCATTGTGATCCGATTATATTTTATTTCTGAGTTCATTTCCAAGTGTTACATGGTTGTTCTAGTTTAATTTGTATTTCTGGAAAATTTTTACTCTGCATTATTTTCGTCGTTAAATATATCGTTTTCAACTGCTGTGTGATATTCCATCCATGGGCACTACTTAACCATTTGTGGTTTGCTTAACCGTTCCTTAGCCCTTGGGTATTTATTTCAGTCTGTAAACACACCTAGGTAACGCATCCCAGTTGTAACACTTGGGCTGCCCATTCACATGGGTAATGCTGTGTTTTATGCACCTATCAGTGTGTTGGGACTCCTTGTCTTAAGACACTTGATTTGTTGCCCGGAGCAGTCTGGGGTGCCCATAAAACCTTTTGGGCTATGGGCCTTACTTCTGAGGTTCCCTGTCTCTCTTAGTGGCCCCATCCACTCTTCCAAGCTTTAAAACTCCAGGTAGGTCTTCAACCAACTACCCGTCTAGGCCTTAGCATCTCTCCTTCCCCTCTGCGTTAGTCCAGGCCACACATTTATAAGTGGCCTCCCACTGCTGTCTCTTCTTCCAGGTGTGCCTTCTGTAATCCATCCTCTGCAGAGCTTCCAGATCTTTCTGAAATGAATGTTTGGTTGTGCCTCTCCTGTGATAGCTCCCCTAGTCAGAGCCCTTAGCATGGCATTTGAGGCTCTCACATTCGGACCTCTTCCCAAATCCTCTCTTCTCCTTTCCCCCTGGCTTCCTAAATTCAGGCCAAGATGATACCATCCAGGCCTTCTCTTGTGTCTCCCTGCATGTTCTTTGTTTTTGTTTTTTTAAGTTAACGTTTATTGAGCATTTACTGTGTGCCAAGAATTTCGTCTCCACTTTATGAATGAGAATTTGACATTACAAAATCTGCTCATGAGCATTCAGCTAGTCAGCAGATTTGGGGAGTCCAGCCGCAGAGTCCTCACCATAACCATGTACTGGAAACCCCTTCTTCCCCTTCTCCCCTCAGTGAGTGAAGCCCCCCGCTTCCTCCCAGCTTAGCTTCTTCTGGGAAGCCTGCCATGATATCCCCCCTGTTCTCTGGTCTCTCAGCCCTGGGCAGGCCTCTGCAGTAGTGCCCACCACTCCCATGTTATAGCTGGTCACCTTTGTCAGTGACACCCAAACCTGGCCATACATCAGAATCATTGGGACGCTTTTCCAAATCAGATTCCTGAGTTCCCTTTCTGGGATTGTGATTCAGAAGACGCAGGGGAGGGACAGGGACTCTGTGTGACACGAGGCTCCCCAGCGACAATTCTCCCACATGGTAGGTTTGGGAGCCACTGACGCTCACCTAATCTCTGAACTCCCACCTGGAACCGAGGAGCCCTTAGTGAGCCCCGGGGGCCTTGCTGAGTGAAACTTATGTCTTCAGCACCTGGTTTGCTGCAGGGTGTCTCAAAGACCCTGATCACCAGTTTTTTGCTGCTAACCAAGTTCTGCAGGATGGTCAAAGTCATCTGATTAATTTCATCTAATGAAATTTAACCTTGATGGGACAGGAGACTCAGAAGAATTAAGCTGAACTCTGCTAACTAATAATTTAACATTTTTAGAGGATTTTCCTTCTTCTCTACAAGTTGGTATTGTAAAAAGAGCTGGAATTTGTGGTCCAAGTGTCCTGACTTTGTCACTTGCAAACCGAATGGCTCTGGACTAATTACGTTCCTCTTTTTTCCTCCATTTATCTTACAGGTGCTATTTTGGAAGCGTTAGCTATGACATACTCTCTAATTTACTATGGTAGAATGGGATAGTCCTATGAGATGATGAGAATTGACTCAGCCTTTAGCTGAGCCTAGACAGGGCCTGGGTACTTTAAAATTTATTGTACTTCGGTTTGTGATACTGACCATCTGGACTGTCTGTGCTGGCTTGTGCTCAAGCATTCACTTGCCTAACCTGCATCAAGAGCTCAGTGTTGAGGAATAATATGTAGGGAGACTTCCTAAAGGATACACAGTTTGTCTGACCCTTGAGTCAGGACGGCCAAGCGCATGGCTGTGTGCCTACACGTTCCAGTCTTGTGCTCTTTCTCCTTGAAAGTAGATAGGCCTCAGAGATGGTGCTCCTGGCAGCCACCACTTTCAATGAAGTGAGCATCTATTTATCTTCCCAGCTCTCTGTGTTCCAAAGCTCGTCATTGGATCAGGACCATCAGAGGCCCTGTGCCTGGACTGCACTTTGGTCTCTTGTGAGTGTTTTAGCATCAGAGATGGTTTCATACATGTTTTTTTTTCCTATTCTTAAAATGATAACCTTTGTTGAGCACTTAGTTTGTGTCAAGCACTGTGCTAAGTACTTCAAATGAATTAACTCATTCAGGCCACACAGAATCTGAGGAAGTAGGTACTGTTGTCTTCCCCATTTTACAGATAAAGAATTGAGGCTCAGAGAAGTTAGGTTACTTGCCCAAGGCCACACAGCTAGTAAGAGACAGAGTCAGATTCACACCTAGGCAGGTGCTCCAGAGCCTATGCTCCCAGCCTCTGCTCCCAGCCATGAATCCTGTAACTCACCATTTTCCTCTTGGTGTTGGCCACAAGGAAGCCACTTGCCAAATTTGCTAAACACTAAAGGGACAGCTTATATGGTGTTTACTCTGGCTCTAATTTCACCCTTGGCTTCCTTACTTTCCTTCTTCTGCCCTTCACTTTTCCGCCTGCTAGCATGGCAGAGCTGGCCTCTCAGCCCAGGGCTTTGAGAGTGGGAGTGTGTGCCAGGTCTTTCAATACAGGTGTTAATTGCTGAAATTAATTGGTAATCATAGCAGCTGCTCAGAAAGCCCTGAGCTTCCCTATCTTCAGTAATTACCTATTAGAAGCTTAGCATCCACAAAATTATCTCAGCCTTCATTGAATCCTTTTATATTTTCAGCCTAATTGAATGACCTCTTGGGCTACTCATGAGTTCAGAAAGCATTCCAAGTGTCAGCATTTCTGCTCAAATTCAGCGCTTTTCCTCCTTTGTGAGTTTGTTTTACCAGAAAAAGTGGGCTTTGGGATTTTAGGGTCTAGGTTCAAGTTTTGACTCCATCGCTTCCAAAGTGAGAGATTCTGGATTATTGCTTTCCATTGTAATCTTCAGTTTCCTCATGTGTGAAATAGGCATTATCAGTTTATCTCAGGGCTTACTAAGATCCAATAGGTAAAAACAGGATTTTTATCTGTTATCTGCTGTCAGGGATTATGCTAGATTTTATCTCATGCTTGATAACTAAATAGAGAAATCTTTTTTTAATTTAAAAAATTTTTTTGGCTGCATTGGGTCTTAGTTGTGGCACGTGGGGTCTTTGTTTGTGGCGTGTGGGCTTCTCTCTAGTTGTGGCTTGCGAGTTTTCTCTCACTAGTTGTGGCGTGCGGGGTCCAGAGCACATGGGCTCTGTAGTTTACGGCACATGGGCTCTCTCGTTGAGGCGCAAGAGCTCAGTAGTTGTGGGGCGCGAGCTTAGTTGCCCCACGGCATGTGGGACCTTAGTTCCCTGACCAGGGATCGAACTTGCGTCCCCTGCCTTGGAAGGCGGATTCTTTACCACTGGACCACCAGGGAAGTCCCTAAATAGGGTAATCTTTTAAAGTTATCTACTCCAACGGAGGATACACCAGTTCTTTAGCCATTTCTGTTGCCTGTCTGGGGACCAGCCTCTGCGTGGTTATGCCAACTGTTCATTCCCTCACTCATTCGACAAAATTTACTGAGCTCCACTGTGGGTCTTGTCCTTGGAGAGTGCACAGTCTAACAGGAAGACACAGTTATAGAAGGAGGGCCCAGGTACATCAGGAGGGGTGAGGACAGGGGATTGTGGGTGTTCAAGTGAGGGACACCTGAACTGATGTGGGGAGATGATCTGGAAGCAGCTCAGAGGAGGTGAGATCTGAGCTGAATCCTGCAGCAGGATAACGGGTGTGCTTAGACCCGTAGACAAGGACAGGAGGGTACTCTGGTCCGAAAGGCAGGATGGCAGAGGCATGGGAGGAGTATAACTGCTGAGTGCAGGTGAGCATGGCAGTACAGTGTGGGAGTTGGGAGGAAGTAAGGTTGACAAAGTTGGCAGGCCTTTTCGGGCAGTGGGAAGTGGGGGAGTGGCCATGAGATTTAGGTTTGCGGAATATCATTATGGAGAATGGGCAGGGAGACAGGCTGGGGTTGCAGCTCTCCACATTTTTGCCAGATTCGGTCCACTCTTGGAGAAGAGGCCAGACAGGCCCAGTTCCCCTGCAGCTGGGGAAGCCAGTTCACCAAGCTCTCCCTCCGAGCTCCGCAGGCTGAGTGACCCGGTGCTGTTCAGGTTCACGTCCCAGAAGGTATTTGTAAGTTCAAAACAGAGTTCAACCTTGGCTCTGCCTCCACAGGGAGGAGGGAGGCCCTGGGTTTAGATGAAGCACAAAACCGCTTCCGTAAAGGAGGGGAACGCCACAAGAGATTCATTGGAAAAGCTGCCTCGCAGATGCAGACCTCATGCCGGCATTACGGTCTTGTAAAACCTGGCGCCGCCGGCCCCTTTCTTCTTGTTGTTCTTTCCTTTTAGTCCAAGGCTCCTTCCAGCTCTGAGCCCAGAAAGATTGCGCCAACCCCAAACGCTGCAAAACAGAACTCTTCTGCCCTCTGGCGGCAGACGAAGGAAGAAATTTTGCTGGGAAAAGGCATCTGTTTTCCTCTTCCTGGTATTAGAGTTGGTGGGTGCGTGTCTGTCTCCCCAGCGTCCCAGCCAGGCAGTCGCTCAAGCTTCCCTGGAGAGGGTCTGGCCCAGATCGGATTCTCAGCCGCCAGCAGGGGACATTCCAGCCAGAAGATGGCAGCAGGCCTCTGGCGAGAGGTGCCCCCACCCGCCTCTGCTGACCACAGCTACGCCACACTTCTTGGCATGGGGTCCGCTGTCTCATCTCGAAGGACTTTCTGTGCATGTGTGTTTGGGGCTGGGAAGGGTAGACGTGAGTCAGACATGGGCCCTGCCTGTGGGGAATGAGAACACAGAGAGGGAGCTTACCCAGCTCTGAAGCAGAATCACACGAACTCTGCGATGTGGGAAGCAGCGTGGTGTAGGGGAAAGCGGGAGGGCAGCAGGATTCAGACAGACCTGGGCTCCGACCCTGGGGCCACCTCTCGCCAGCTGGGTGACCTTGGCCTGTTGTGTGATGTAAAATGGTTAAATGATTACAATTGTAATAGCTAACATTTATGTGGTGCTTCCTTTGGCCAAGCACTGTTCTAGGTGCTTTATGTATGTTTTATATTTATATATATTGACTCATTTAATCCTCCACAACCCTTGAAGTAGATATAATCATATCCCCATTTTAGAGATGAGGAAATGAAAGCACAAAGAAGCTAAAATGCTTTCTCCAGGTAATGCAGCTAGTGGGTGGCAGAGCTGGATTGGAAACTAGACAGGGCAGTGGCTTGCCTTTGTGATGGTGTGTATGCAGGGCCAGCACAGTGCCTGGCAGCAGAAGAAGGCCTTTGATTATAAGCAGCTATTACAACTTTAATAGTTAACGATTCAATAGTTAATAACTAAATGATTACATGAGCTGTCTCCTCATCACTGCCCCATGTTTAGTGTCACTAATTGTCCATCTTCCTGGCAGATTTGGACATGTGAGCGTGGCACACCTCCTTTTGGATCACGGGGCTGATGTCAATGCCCAGAACCGGCTGGGGGCCAGTGTGCTCACCGTGGCCTCTCGGGGTGGCCACCTGGGCGTGGTGAAGCTGCTCTTGGAAGCCGGTGCCTTTGTGGACCATCACAAACCCTCAGGCGAGCAGGCAGGGGACGGCAGGGACGAGCTCCTGGACGTCACGGCCCTGATGGCCGCAATCCAGCATGGACATGAGGCTGTGGTACGTCTGCTGATGGAGTGGGGTGCAGACCCCAACCACGCGGCCCGCACTGTGGGCTGGAGCCCGCTGATGCTGTCAGCACTCCTCGGGAGGCTTGGCACGGCCCAGCAGCTGGTGGAGAAGGGGGCCAACCCGGACCACCTCAGCGTGCTGGAGAAGACTGCCTTCGAGGTCGCGCTTGACCGCAAGTACAGGGACCTTGCAGACTACCTGGACCCGCTGACCACTGTCAGACCCAAGACAGGTCAGGCTGCGCCACCGCTAAACTACTCCCTCGTCCCGCCGTGGCCTCACAGAGGACCCCAGATTGTGTTTAAATGGCAAACGCCGAGGGGTGTCCAAACAGAAGGGCATGTGGAAATCGCAGTCCAGCCTGCGGGGTAGTGGGACTTAAGATGTGCCGTGGGGGAGAATCAGGCAGGGGTGCCTGCCACGTGCAGGTTCCTGGCCCACCCTCCCTCCAGAGAGTGATTTGGTAGCTCTCAGAAGAGCCTGGAAACCTGCACAGCAAGGCCCCTCCTTCCTAACCAGATGATTCTGGTGCAGGAGGTTCTGAGATCCTTCTAGAATGGGTCAGCAAACTTCTGTAAAGGACCAGATAATAAATATAGTATTTTAGGCTTTGTGGGCCACACAATCTCTGTCGTAACCACTCAGTTCTGCTAGAATGAAAGCAGCCTACGTGATATGTCAAGGAGTGGGTGGGGCTGTGACCAGGAAAACCATCATTCTAAAAACAGGCACAGGGGTAGTTTTGGCAACCCCTGCTCTAGAACAGTGTGCCTAACCTCAGTTGCCAATGACCAGTGCCCAGAGACTAATTCACATAAAATTTAGCCTACTTTTCTGTTGTGTTTTTTCAACACCTATTCGTGTATCCTGTTTCTTTTTTCTTTTTGCCATCTTTCTGGCACTTAAAGAGATGTCTAAACTTGCCATCTTTCTGGCACTTAAAGAGATGTCTAAACAATCCTTAGGAAATCTGCTACAGGACATATGTTTCAAAACCTCTAGTTCATCATGTGCAGTAGAATTGTGTAATGCAGAGTCACACACCTCAATACCCTCTGTCTGTGATGCTCTGATTTCAGTGGCAGGCCTGAGACAGCCTGGGCTGTAAGGCTGGGCTGCAGCATGTGAGCACGTAGGACTGAAAGGTAAAAATTGGAAGAAAAGGTCATCAGACAGACAGGCTAAACAGACTTGAAAGTGTTGAAAGGTTTGAACCATCCAAAGAATATGCAGTAGTCCTGTCAATCACTTTGTAAATCAACTACACTTCAATTAAAAAAAAAATTCAAATGGCCAATAAAAAAAAAGTTCCATCAATCAAAAGATGCTGCACATTTGGGAAATGCTTATTAGAAATACACTATCGGGTCAAAATACTCTGAAATAAGCATGTTGAAAAACCCTGTAACAACAGAGAGATGGTGAAAATGAAGAGAACGCCAAACTGAAAGGAAAAAGAAGTAAAGTTTAGGAAAACCTGTCTGGAGCCAGGAGACCTCTTTACTTTGTGCAGATTGGACAAGTGAGGTCCAGAGAGGAATAGAGGCTGGTCAAAGGTCACATACCGGTTAGAAGCTGAGTGACACTCAGAAGGTGAGGGAATCCATGGGAAGAGCACGGGATGTGACTCCGCCCAGTTGGAGCACTTGTAGGGCCGCTGGGAGCTGGGCATGCTTGTAACTCTCTCTGAGCCTTCCTTTGCCTCTTGTGTAAAATGGGGTTAATGACAACTACCAGGTGGTCATGAGCAGAAAATAAGCTGGCCTCTGGGGTGTGAGCCCTTGGGCTAGAATGTAACAGCAGTTCAGTGTTAGGTCCTGGGGAAGAGTTGCAGTTGGAAGGTAGGGCTCCAGCCTCACACAGGGTATTTTCCTTGACGCAAGGCTGCTGCCCTCCTTTAAAGGCTTTGGTTCCGTTTGTCTCTGTAGCCAAGATCGGGAAGGGAACTGCCTTCTCACATCCCTGCTCTGCCAATAGGCAGACTCTTAACCTCACCCCCACCCCGGGGAGGTTGGCTTCAGCCATGTTGCAGGTGAGGGAGATCAGGCAACTCGCTCAAGGCCTCCACCCTAGAAGTCGACAGTCTGGAACTTGCACCCTGCCTGTAGCCACTGAGCTGTGCCTCTCGTACTGCTTATTCTCCTCCTTCCTCAGATTTCCCCCAGCCGGCGTTCTGGGGTCTTAGCTCCCCACGTGCCTCCTTAGGGACTGCCCTGGCACCCTGGGAAGGCGATGCCCTCATCTCCTCAAGGTGCGGTGGGGAAGACACAGTGGTGGGCGTGCCCAAGGTCACCCTCTACCAGGATCCACCCAGCCTTGCCTGTGCTGGCCAAGGGACCTTGGACCAGCTGCCTGCGTTCTCTAAGCTTCTGTTTCGTCATGCATAAGTGGGTGACGGGAGTACCCCCTGCCTCACAGGACTGCTGTGAGGATCAAGTGAGGTCATCCCAGCCCAGAGGGAGCGCGTGAGAGATGCTGGCAGCTGCCTCACCCCTGTTACTGTAGTCATTCTATTTGATGGGACCGGGTCATGGTTACGAGCAGACTTCCCCATTGAGCAGACCAGGGTTTGAGGCTCAGCTCTCCCACTTTGTGGCTGGGCGGCCTTGTTGTATTCATTGTCCCTCCAGGACTCCAGTGTCCTCTTTCATAAAACAGCCATAATAAATGTACTTACCTTGTGAGGTCCTATGAGCTTTGGTAAGATAATGCCTGTAAAATACATACCCCAGTGCCTGGCACATAAAGAGCAGTGAGTGGAAGCTACCAAAATGGATTTTTATTGACCATTCATTCATTCTGTTACTCTGCAAGTATTTGAGTGCCTACTATGTACCAGGCACTGTTCTAGGCACCAGCAAACAAATCAGACCTAATCCCTGCGCTTGAGGACGCTGGCCTCTGTAGGCGAGACAGCCAAGAAACAGGAAATAAGCATATTAAATAAAATAAGTTACATAGTACAGTAGATGGAAGTACAGTGGTGGGGAAGAAAACAAACAAGGGCGAGGTGGAGGGTGTGGGAGCAGTGGAGTTGGGGCGATACAGGCCACCGTATGAAATAGGGCCGTTGGGTGGCCGCCTTGAGGTGAGAGTTCAGCCTACTTGCAGGAGCTGAGGAAGTGTTCCGCCTCTCAGGGAAGAGCCTTCGGGTAGGACAACAGCAAGGGCAAAGGCTGTGTTACTAATAATGACAGATTATTAAATGAATAACATTAGGCCCCAGCTTTTTTTGTGAGATGCCAGAAATCCACCCCCCATCGGGGCCTTGGAGATCCCCAGCTCTCTCCCTTGCATTAGCTGCAAGACAGGATATCTTTGAGGCTGTAACTGTCCTTGTGACACCCTCCCCACCCCCACTGTGGTTGTTCCTTGGGCTATGGAAGGGTCCCTGGAGTTGCTCTGATATTGATGCAAAAACTGGAGCCTGGAGTGAGGAAAGAACCAGCCCAGGGTCACTGGGCATCAGGCACAGCTGCCCCAGCTTCCTGGGGTAGGACTAGACTGTCAGTGATTCATTTGCACCAGAAGGTTGCTTAGCAACCAACACTAGGGCCAGGTGACACACTCTTTTCTGTCAAAGGGTCTTGGCACGAGAAGGCCCTGGCCCACAGCAAATTAGACTCTTAAACACTTAAAGGAACGAGACATATTTTTTGAAACCAAAACACAGTATCATTTCTTAATAGTATTTCAAAGGCAAAATTAGACGCTTGGTTCCATGGCCCTGTGTATACTTCCTTGTAAGAGCCCTGTAGTTAACTAGTACCTTTTCTGGGGTGGGTGCTGGTCACTAGGAAAGATAACAAAAATTGCTCTTGTTTTTAGAATAGAGCCTAAGAATTTCTGAAGCATTTTACCATCTATATTATCCACCCCTGCAACAACCACATGGTCCCCATGTTAGTGTGTTGTCCCCATATTAATGATGAGGAGACAGATCTCTCTGGAAACATGCATTCAGATTCGGGTACTCTGACTCCAGACTCCGTGCTCCTTGTGCCACGCTGCACCTTCCTCTCAGCTGCCGGAGGGGGCTGATCTGGACCAGGGATTTGGCCCAGAGTCACAGGTTTCCTCCTGCAGCTGCTCCATCCTCCTGGAGTTAGTCAAAGGAAGTCCTACATTTGCACACCAGCGAAGAACCTGGTCATGAGGATGGATGCTTTCTGACAGGAAGGAGCAGGGTACCCGCTAGCTCCAGCTTCGAGGAAGATGACAGAGAGCAGATGAGGGAGGGGCTAACCCTGGGTGGGCGCAGCAAGGCCCAGCGCGAAGACATCAGTTGGGCAGTCGCCTGCTGGGAGCTGCATCTGCAAGTCTGGGGTGAGGGTGACTTTCAGAATCATTCAGATGGCTGCTTATTTGGGAAGGAAAGCAAATATTAGCATTGGCTCTTCTGGTGGCCACGACCATGACCTCCTCTGGGATTAGCTGCTCAGTGTCTCAGGGGTCCTCTGCTCTGGAATTACCTCATGGTTGTACATTTAGTTTTTAGACTAAAAGAATCATTGTTTCTTTTTAAAATCTTCATAGGAATCCAGATTTTTCCAAGACTGTACTTTTCCGTTCTATCTGAGAAAGGCCATCCCAAAGTTTGGAGTGCCTAAAAATGAAGGCTTTATGAGTTGTGGGATCGGGAAATGGTCTGCTCATTCATGTTTTCTGGGCCAGATGACCTCCCACGGTCTGTGTCTGAAGCATTTTCAGACACTCTGACAATAGCCCTTCCAGAAGGTCTGCTGGAGTCATCTCAGGTCTCTGATTAGACTGCTTTTGAGAAGCAGATCATTTTTAAAGCTAGGCTGGGTCGTTACACCCTTGTGACTTTTCTGTTGTTTCAAACCTTTCTGTGGTTAACTTGTAAAATCTTTGTTTACCCAGATGAGGAGAAAAGGCGACCTGATATTTTCCATGCATTGAAAATGGGTAAGCGCTTGAGAAAATCTTTTTGGATATTTAAGAATACAGTGCTATTTTTTTCCAACCTAATTAATATTTATAGTCCTTTTCAAGGCCACCCAGAGTATTTGAGAAAGAAACAGGCATTTTGTTGTTTCCTGACTCTAGTTTCACCCAGGGAGGTTCAGACCCTGGAGTCTGGTAGTCATGCTGTTTTACACACAGATTCCAGACTGCTCTCTCAGGCCCCCTCTGCCTCTCCGGCTAAACCCTGTGGCTATGTCCTGGCTTTTACTTACCTCTAAAATGCCTGGCTGCCCACCTACCCGCTCCACTCTCTTTGTAATGAAGGGCTGTTTAGCCTAATATTGCCTCTCCTGAAATAGACACCCCACCTCCAGGAAGCTCGCCCTTATCCTCACCTCTCAGGGAGACCTGAGCTCTCCTTCTGCGTGCGCATTGCCCTTCATCACCATCCTTTTAAGATGTCAGTGACATTTTGTCTCTTTTGGTAAAGCCGTTCGTGTGCTTGCCTCCATCCCTCCTAGATGGAAGGATTTGAGAGTGCGGGCTACCTCTGACTCATCTTTGTAGCCCCTGCGATGCCCAGTAGCCCAGTGCAGAGGCTGGCTTAGCACATCTGTTACATGAAACCACTGGGTAAATGATCCTGCGGTTCCAGGCCCATGGATCACCAGGGCTTCTGCTTCTGCTTCTGCTTGCAGGAAACTTCCAGCTGGTCAAAGAGATTGCCGATGAAGACCCCAACCACGTGAACCTGGTTAATGGGGATGGGGCGACCCCACTGATGCTGGCAGCTGTCATGGGGCAGCTGCCTCTGGTGCAGCTACTGGTTGAGAGGCATGCTGACGTGGACAAGCAGGACGGCGTGCATGGCTGGACAGCCCTCATGCAGGCCACCTACCACGGGTCAGTGCCAGCTCCACTCCCTCAGTGGGGAGGCTAAGGTGTCCCGGGCTGAAAGAGGGTTCCTGATGGGTTTCTGGTACCGAGATGCTACAGATAAGCCCCCCCCCCCCAATTATGACGATGTTGAGGCACTCAAAAAAGACTAAAAGCCACACAGGCTCAGTCTATCCTGCATTCCTACCCTTTGTGTCCAGATTTCCTGTTGCCTTGGCACACAATTTCACCTGTGGTCATGAGAAATCATGCAGAAGGAAGGTTTTATACTGAAAGATAAGTTTCAGTTGAGCAAACAGATTAGTTCTTTTGGAGTTTCACATTGGTGTATATAGCAGCCCCCCTGTTGCCCCCGTTAGGAATGAACATTGGCCATTTGTACCACTGGCTTCTCGTCTGATGGTGAGGCTTGTCCTAGCTCTTGTTTTGCATAGGCGTCAGTGTCGACTGGTGCTTCTGAATCCCTTCTCATCCAGTCATCCCTCTGCCCTCCTGGATGCCTCCTCCTTGGGGTGGGCTTGACCAAGAGGCAGGGATCTGCATATAGCCTTATACCTGCTCAGTGATCTGATTCCAAATTAGGGGCTCCACCCTTGTCCTGCTTCAGGTGATCAGAGCAGTCTCCTGCGTCCTTTTTAAGTGGTTTCTTTCCTCATTTGATAGGCCTCAGACTTCCACATCAAACACCCTGGCCTGCGGGAGGCTTCATGTTTCAGCTGCAGGAGTCCTGATTTGGGGCTGGAAGGGCAGGGCCTGCATGTGGTCCTGGGGGCCAGTGGTTTTGGGGCAGAGCCCTTGGTTTTCGGTTTGTGGAAGGAACACTCAGGCTTTGATTTCTGTCATGGCTGGCCACAGTGTAGGGAACAAGGGCTGGGAGACACAGCTTTCCAAGCCCTTTTACAGGTGCAGAGATGCTGCTGTAGTTAAAGCCACCACTCATGTTGCCCAGAAGCAAGGCCATGCTTTCCCTTTCAGTGGGTCTCACTCTGGCTTTTTCTTTCTTCCACAGGAACAAGGAGATTGTCAAATATCTGCTAAACCAAGGAGCTGATGTCACTCTTCGTGCAAAAAACGGGTACACGGCCTTTGACCTAGTGATGCTGCTGAGTGATCCTGGTGGGTTGTTTCTGGAAAAGAGTTTTAAGCCTGCCGGGTTCTCTGGCTGGGAATTGAGATAATCACCTGTGATTAAGCACTTGCTTATTCAAGGGGGAAGCCACTCTCGGACTCCCAGAGCTCCCCACACAGCCTCAGGCAAGTCTTCACTCCTCCCAAGGAGGGTGGAGCTGGGACCAGGTAGTCCCTGAGGCCTCTCTCGGCTCCAGCCTTCTGGGAGTCTCCAGGAGGGAAGGCCTTGGCAGACTGCACAAATCCTAGATTGGTATTTGTGCTCCCAGCCAGAAACTGATTGACTCCGGAGGAAACAGGCCCCTCTCACGAGCAGAATCAGAGTAAGCAGTGACCCCCGTGGCTTAATTGTGTAGGTGGAGGCTGCAGGTCAAGGGTCCTGTGCTGGAGGTATCGCCATTGCTAAGCCCCCAGCTGGCACCTCAGACCCTCCCCCACTTTGACAGGCCTTCCTCTGGGACCTGGGGCTTCCAATTAGCCAGCTCAGGGGGCAGGGTCTGTCTTACCTATTGTCTCTCTTGTGACCCTCGAGTTTCAGCCCAGAGCGGGAGAAGCTGGGAGGCCTTCCTGGCCCGCAGGCTCTGAGCCCTGAGCCAGATTCTAAGCAGCTGGCGGTGGAGGGGAGGACTTTGCCTCCTCGGTGTCTGATGGAGGGACTCCTGCGGCCTCCCTTAGCTGTGGAGGTGGCAGGCCCTTCCTTACCGCCAGCATCACCTCCCCCGCCACCCTCCCCTCCTGCGGGCCCCACACATCACAGATACGTGCTGGTCCTGTTGTATCCTTAGGAGAGCAGCGAGGGAAGCAGAGCTGCTTGTAGAGGGGAGGAGCCCGGAGTCTGGGAAGACTTGAGCCCTGCTAGAGAGATAGGGCCCTCCACCCAAGTGCAGCGATCTCGCTCCTCACGTGGCTAGGGTTCACATCATTCAGGATCAGTCTCCCCGGGACCCTGGCCTCCTCTCCCTCCCTCCTCCACACGCTTTCCTCTGACAGACTCGTCTCTTTCCCTGTGTCTCTTCCCTCTCCCCCCTTCTCCCCCACTCCCTTTCCCAATAAAACAATCTACCCCAATGGATTTTTTTTTTCCTAGTGGGCTTTCAAATGAAGTTTTTGCCTGAAATTTTCAAAGAAACACATGTTTATTATTGAACACTTGGAGAGAAAAAAAGGAAACAGTCATCAAGAGAAAAGCATATTAATAGTTGGTAGTATTTTCTTCTCAGTCCTGTTTGTTGTTTTTTCAATAGCCTAGTTGAGTTAATAATAACTAATACTACTTAACCTTTCTTAAGCACTTACTGTATGTTAGGAATTACCTCAAATCCTCCAGATACCTTTATGTGGTGGTACTAATGTCACCTCTTAATCTACCTGCAGTTACATGGCCAGGGAGGAACAGAGGCAGAATTCAAACCTCGGTCATCTGGCTGTAGAGCCTGTACTTTTTTTTTTTTTAAACAACAGCTGTTTTATTTTACTTATTATTTGTTTTTAATAAATTTATTTATTTATTTATTTTTGGCTGTGTTGGGTCTTCGTTGCTGTGTGCGGGCTTCCTCTAGTTGCAAGTGGTCTTCGTTGCAGTGCACGGGCTTCTCATTGCGGTGGCTTCTCTTGTTGCGCAGCACGGGCTCTAGGCACGTGGGCTTCAGTAGTTGTGGTGCACAGGCTTAGTTGCTCTGCGACATGTGGGGTCTTCCCGGACCAGGGCTCGAACCCGTGTCCCCTGCATTGGCAGGCGGATTCTTAACTACCGCGTCACCACGGAAGTCCCGAGCCTGTCCATTTTTAAACTCACCACCCCTCTGCCTTCCTGGTAGGACAGGACTTCTGGCTTTTATTTCTGGTTAAGTGGGTTAAGCCCTGCTCACCTGTTTGCCACCTTTTGAAGAGCCAGTGGAGGGGCAGGGATGCCTTGATCCTGGAGTAACACAGGCTCTGGAGCTGTGGGGCTGAGTTCTCAGGCTGATGGGGGTCATCTTGGGCCCCCACCCCATGGCCCGACAGACATATTTGCAGGTAAAATGCTGCCTTTTGTGTCCATAGACACGGAACTTGTTCGACTGCTGGCATCTGTCTGCATGCAGGTGAATAAAGACAAAGGCCGGCCCAGCCACTCACCACCCCCGCCCCACTCGAAGGTCCAACAGCCCTGGAGTGTCCCAGTGCTGCCTGATGACAAAGGCGGACTTAAGGTTTGACTTTTCTTGTCTTAAATGGCGTCAGAGAGCCAGGCCAGAATGAGTGAAGCGGGGAGATGCTTGCTGCTTCCTTGTTACCCAGGGCTGGTGTAGGCTGGGGTGGGGGGCCCAGTAGGGGCAGGAAGTAAGCTGGAGGTGAGCAATAGGGAACGGTGGGGACCAGGGAAAACTGGGGTGATCGTAACCACTTAGTGGCCTTAGTCGCTGCTTTGCAGGTATGTGGTTCCATGTTGCCACATGTTCCCATCTTTTTCAGGAGAAGCTAGAAACCCAGATTTTGATGCAGAGACACAATTTGTAAATGTAGGGAATTTAAACATTTTTTTGCATGATGTAGTACTGAGCTGGCCAACCTTGAACACCTCTTCTTCCAGGCCGTCTGTCTGTGGCCTGTGCTTTAGTGTGGAAAGTATTTGCTGATTGCACCATTCTAGGATCTCCCTGTGGTCCACAGACCCCCGTCAGCTTCTTCCGGAAACCTCAAAACCCAGCTCCAGTTGCCTATTTCTAAACTGCAAGCTGAATGTTTCTCTTTGAATTTCTTATCCTCCGAGCCCTGCTCTGCTTGTTGGAAATCAAAATTATTTTTTCCCTTGTCCTGGCTGGGGTTCTAGCACCTTCTCAGATCTGCAGACTTAGCATTCTTCTCATGTTCGTCGCTCACTCAGGCCCCTGGATTCTTCCTCACAGTGTTGTTTGCATAGATCTCTTCATTCCTGCCGCACTGCCATCTCTGTAGGCCAGGCTCTCACAGCCTCCCTTTGGCGCTGTGCCAGTAACCCCTGAGCTATCGTGGGATTATGTAGACACCCTAGGGGTGGCACCTGTCCTCTCTTTAGGTGGGAAGGCATCAGCTACAGGAGCAGATGGTCCAGGCGTTGGTGTGGACACCCTGACACCTCTCACATTGTTACTGGAATAGGGGGAAGGAGGTTATGCAGTAATAGATGTTAAGGTGTTTGGTATTGCCTCTGTGTCCACCTGTCTGTCCCTGTTTGACTGTAAGACATTGAGCAAATTGATATCCCTGGGTCCGTGTTTCTCTATCTGTGCAATAAGGAGATTGATTGGAAGAGGGTTAGCAAATAGGGTTCACTGCCAACTCCAGCCTATTGGAAAGGCCCCCTAAGGGCTGGGTCAGGAAGGATTTAGAGAGAACCATGGCTTTTGGGAAAGGGTGCTATGGTTGATTGGTAATGCCCGCAGTGGGCCCAGGAGAGGGGAAGGGAAGCACGTGTGGAGTGTGGTCACTGTCCCTGGGCTAGGTGTTCTTGGGGCATGACCTCTGCCCTGCACTTCCTTGGCAGTCCTGGTGGAACCGAATGTCCAATCGGTTCCGGAAGCTCAAACTGATGCAGACACTGCCCCGTGGGCTGTCCAGCAACCAGCCATTGCCTTTCTGTGATGAGCCGGAGCCAGCACTGGACTCCACGATGAGGGCGCCCCCCCCCAGACAAGACGAGCCGCTCTGGGCTCCCCGACGTGACCCCCACGACCAAAGACAATGGTAAGAAGAAGTTGCATGTGTGGTAGAATTTCCAGAATGGTCAAACCCTGAACCTTTTTGCCCTTACCCTCTTCTCTTTGTCCCACCTCCTGGGCTGATGCCAGAGGTGAGATGCTGTTGGAATGTGACACTGGGGCAGAGTGGCTGGTCTGGCAAAGAAGGGACATAATTGTTGTCAGTGTGGTAGAATGGGGAAGCTGGTGGCACGAGTCCCAGGCTCCTGTCCCACATGCCCTGTTGAGAGACCACTGGCCAGTCACTGCCTCTCTCTTGCCTTCGATCGGCGATTTTCCCACCTGTTGAATGTGATTGGTCTTGCACCGACAGTGTTTTGAAATAGAGTGAATTACCAGGGTTGGGCTGGGAGTAGTGAGCTCCCCACCACTGGAGGTATTCAACAGATTGGATGACTTTGCCAGGGCACTGAAGGAGATTCCCACGCTGATTGGGACGTCAATTAGATCAGATCCCTTCTAACAGTCAGACTTCCCACACCTAGACTAGATCCTTTGGCACCACTGTTTGAGACAGACTATTGAGCTGCAGGTACCACTGTCTGACCCAGCATGACAGTGGTTTATGGAAAAGCTGAAAACACACTCTAAGATAACTTTTAAGTGCTTTCCTTTTATTCAGATATAGAATACCAATTATTATTAAGTATTCAATCACTCAGGAGAGTTGTTTTTCCAGGATGAAGGCTGACCTGGTCACTTGTCCTCATGCCATGAACTCTTTGTGGGGTGGGGGTGGGGTCATTTCAGGAAACTTCTATTTGTTTCTCAGGTCCTGGGAGCACAAGAGGAGAAAAGGAAGATGTGTTATTGACAACCATGGTGAGTGTGGGGCTTTTCTAAAAGCATTTCAGGTCTCTACCAATCGTTAGGGGATTGATTTCTAAGAAGGGATGTAGGTGTTTGTCTTGCTCTGTGGTGGTTACAGATGGGGTCGATATCAAAATGTGTAACAGTGGTATATCTCTGGCACCGAGAAATCAGGACAGATGCCAGCCCTGAATTGCAGGTAAGGCTGTGCTTGTGCTTAGCAGCCAGAGGTAATCCCCAGTCATGTTCTCAGGGAGGCAGTACTGAGGACAGGGGCCTTGTAGGCATAGGAATTGATGGGTGACATTGAACTCACCCTTTTGGTTACGGAAAGCCAAGGAGAGAGAAGTCAAAGAGGAGGGTATGTTTCCAGCCTGAGAGAGGCCTCAGTTTCCTCATCTATAAATTAGAGATGTGTCAGGATTAGGTTCAGCTACGAGTAACAGAAAATCCCCAAATAACTGGCATAAATATATGACAGCATCACATTTCTGTCAAGTAAGTGAAGTTCAAGACTAGTTTATTGTTCCATAGAGTTTGGGACCTAGGTTCCTTTTACCTGTTGGTCTGCCAGCCATGGCTACTACTACCAAGGTCACCTTTTGGTCCAAGATGCCTGCCAGAGCTCTGTCCATTACTACCTCACTCCAGCTGACAGGAAAGATGAGGGGAGAAGAGGTGACCATAGGCACATGCCAGGTGTCTTTAAAGAAGTTTCCTGGAAACTCACACATCGCTTTTGCTTACATTAAATGGGCCAGAATTTAGTCACATGGCCCATTCACACTGCACAGGAGGCTGGGAAATGAAGTCTTTGTTCCGAGTGGTCGTGTGCCCATCTAAATATCAGGTGTGTCTGCTGAGGAAGATATCGAGGATGGACATTAGGTGATAGCTAGCCTTCTCTAACTTAGGGGATGATCTCTCATGGTTGTGGTTTTTCAATGAGATCATCCCCAGGAAGTTCTTAACATAGTGGCTGGCCCAGAATGAGCTCTCATTTATCTACTGTGTGACCTTGGACATGTTACCTCACTTCTGTGGGCTTCATTTCTCTTCTCTGAAGTGAGAGTCTCCTGGTTGGAGTTGGGCTCAAGTCCCTTTAGCTCTGAGGCCTTAATCTGGAGGCTGGCCAGGAGAGGGCAGTATTGGAGAGAAGAAGGGAGCAGAGGAGCCCCCAAAAGACTAAGCTGCCCCAGGACCTGCGGAGCCCTGACCAGGATCTGCCCGTTCTGCCCTGCTGTGTAATAGGCGTAAATTGGTGTCTGCACACTGACTGTGGGACTTGTACCACCCAACATTTGATAATGTTATTAAATAGCAATAATTACTTTCAGTATGAAGACAGAAATGCTGTTATTGAAATTTTGGAAGATGCAGTAAAGTATAAAGAAAAATAAAATTGCCCTTGATCACACATCCAGATATAATCATGATTGACATTTTGTGGCATATATCTTTTGAGTATTTTCCCTAATCATTTTTTCACATCTGTGAATATGATATCGTGTTATATATAGTAAACAAATACTGAACACAGCACTAAGTATGTACCAGTCAAATGCTTATTAAGTATTTGTAGCACTTTACATATATTCACTCACTTAATATCCCCAACAACCATGCCAGGTCAGGCACTGTTATCCTCCCCATATTGTGCTGAACCTGGTGTATTAGCAGTTTGTCATGACCATCTTTTCTGTGTCAGAAACACTCTTTGGTCCCATCACATCCAATGGCTGCAGGATGAACATTCCATCATGGGACTGTGCCCTCATCTCTTTATCTAAGACTGACCTGCTGGGCTTTGGGGTTCCTAGTTTTTCATTGTTTTAACAGCTCTGATGAATACCCTTAGGCAGATGGGGTTGTCGAGGTCCAGAGGGGACAGCCCTTATTCACGGACTCTCAGAAAAGCAGGACAGAGCCAGGGTGGGAACCCAGGATGCCCACCCTCCCATCTTGTTGCTCTCCTGTCCCACCTCCTCACGCCCTCTAGAGGGCACCAGTGTGCCTGCCTGCCCCGTGGCAGATGGAGGATGGCCACGGTGCTCTGCTGAGTGGGCGTTTGCAGCCATCCTTGCGGAGATGCCCACCTGCCTGGCTCCCGAGGCAGGTTTAGCTGTGGTATGCCCTTCCCTGCAAAGCACCATCTGGCACCAAGTTCACTGTCTTTTCTTAATTAAAGTTAGCTTGGACTGTGTGAAAGCTTTTCCTTGACAATCCGCCAGTCATCATTGTGTGGATTTTATACTGACCCCAAATCACATTTTCAAAACTTAAATTGCAGTTAAAAATGTCAGCAGTGGGAGATGTGGCTGGAGTAGGAAGGAAGTGGTGGGATGGGGGATGGGAGGGTTGGCTGGGTTCACAGAGAGTCAGCCTGGGCCTTCCAGTACCCTCATCCCCTCCTCCTGAAACCCCCAGCTCTGGTCACACCAGTGTCCTTGCAATTCTGTGCACTGGTCTTGCTCCTCTTGCCTCCAGGCCTTTCCACATTCTCTTCCCTCCGTCTGCAGTGCCCTTTCCCCAAACCTCTCTGTTGTCCTTTGGGCTCAGCTCAAGTGCCCCCACACCCACAAGATGCCCTCTCTACCTGCAGGGAGAGGTGGCCCCTCCCCTGTGCTGTCCCATCACAGCACACGTATCACCTCTTGGCTACCCCACGACTCTCCATACTCCCCGCCCCTGTTGTGTGTTTCTGCTGTGGACAGATGCAAGAGAACCTGGGAGTTGGAGCAGAGCAGCTGTGGGAATCACTTGGCTGCTGGGAAGAGAGCTGAGGACATCATGTGGGTTTCTGGCTTGGGTGGAGGGGTAGGTAGTGCTGCCGTTCTCTGAGAAGCAGGGGAAACCTGGAGCCTTCCTCGCAGAGCCGGGAGCCCTCTTGGAGCTTGCCTAACCCACAGCCTGTCTTTTTCAGCTTCGGAATGGAGCCCCCTTCACCAGACTCCCAAGCGACAAGCTGAAGGCAGTCATCCCCCCTTTCTTACCCCCTTCCAGCTTTGAGCTGTGGAGCTCGGATCGGTCCCGGACATGTCACAACGGGAAGGCAGACCCCATGAAGACTGTGCGGCTCCAGAGAGCCAGCAGGGGGCAACCTGTGGGCGGCGGGAGCACAGACACCGTAAGTTGTCCAGCTGACATGCTTTACACGTCACCACTCACTGACATTGTGATGTGTTGCAGGCAGAAGGGACCTGAGACCCACTAATCCAGGGGGGCTGAAGCTTTTTATTTTCTTTTAAATGAGTGATATTCTTTTGTCTAATGAAACCCTACCAAAGAACTTAATATGTAAGCAGATTAAAATGTTAGAGTGAATGGAGTGAAAACGGGAGCCCCTCTCCCTGGAACACAGGTTGAAGACCTGATCTAATCCACCCTTCCCTTTAGTAGATGAGGAAACAGCCCAGAGAAGGGAAGTCAGTTGCTGAAGGTCACCCAGCCAAGTTGGGGCGGGGATGCTGGGACCAGAAATCAGGTTCTTGGCCTCTAATTAAGTTCCATACTACATTGCACAGGTCCAGGACCAAGCTCAAGACTGGGAGGCAACTATGTGTGCTACTAGTATTTTCTTGCAACCAGAAAGTGTGACTTGTCTCCTTTTGACCACAGTGGTTTCTGACTTGGTGGCCCTCAGTGTGTCTCTGTGATATACTGAGGTAGTCCGTCCCATTGTGGGAGCTGATCTCCATATGTGTAGACTGTAAATAATGTAGGTACAGTAAATGGGCAAACCGAGGATAGGGATTTAGGACCTGACCCTGCCGCTTTGTGTCGACTGATTGGAGAACCTCAGGGCCCCCGTCTCTGTCTGACCCCCATTGCTTGCTGCTGCCTCCCTGGACTGTCGTAATACCAAATCACTAGTTGGAGACCAAGGGCCTGGTGGCTGGAGGACTCAAAAATGGACAGAGTGGGTTTACATTAGTCCACCACATGGGAGCAGGTGGGTGACCTGTAGGAAACGATGTCACAGGTGCTCAGCCTGAGTTAATGGTCGGTCAAGTTGTCAGCAGATAGATGTGAACTGCCATCCCTTGGGGGACTCCTAGCAGGATGAGCACCGGTGGGCAAGGACGTGCCAGTGGATGCAAGCACCGGCTGGGATGGGCCAGCTGAACTCCAGGTGCCTCACCACTGTGATCTGTGCGTCGGCAGGAATGAACAGCAAACCCTAACTATGATATCCACCTTGTTCTTGCAGACTCCCGTCAGGCCAGTTAAATTTCCGTCTCTCTCCAGAAGCCCAGCCTCTCCTGCCAATTCTGGAAACTTCAACCACTCACCTCATTCTTCTGGTGGCTCCAGTGGGGTAGGAGGCATGAGCAGGCACGGTGGGGAGCTGCACAACCGCTCAGGTGGGTACCCAAGCAGGCCACTCCGGGGAGGTGGGAAGATCCCTTGGGGTTGAGGGTGTGAACTGGGGACAGTCCTAGAGACCACTGCATACAACCTGTCTTTCTCGTTGATGTGCCTAAAGGATTTTTCAGTGAATTCACAATTCATAGTTTCTTCTATGCATTTTCTTAGGGCAGGGGAGGGGAAGAAATAGTCTATAATGCTTTATTTTCTTGGAAAATTTTACAAGAAACTAAGAGAAATACATGGTGTTTTTGCGGTATTTAAAATCCTTGAAGATTAAACCTTAGATATCTTCTCATCCTGACCCTTCAATGAACAGATGAGGAAACTGAAGCTCAGAGTGGGTGACAGATTTGCCCAGAGAAACACAGAAGATTTGCCCAGAGACAATTAAGACTCAAAGCAAATTGCCCCACAGTTATTTTGGGCTTGTTAGCATACTTTCTTTTTCTTTAATTTTAATTTTTTTCACATCCTTACATTTGTTTACCATATTCTTTCAGCAAATATTGTTGACCACTTATTAGATGTGAGGCAATGTCTAGGCGAGCATTTAGAGCTAGAGCATTTAGCAATGAAAAATTCAAAGTCAGTTCTGTAGGAAGTTGTATTCTGGTATAAACAGGTAATTTTTTAAAAATCTGATGATAGTAAATACTATAAAAAACAAAACAAAACACCAGAATATGGGAATAGGTAATGAGACTGGTTACAGGATATTTTCTGGTCCTCCCCGAGGGGATCCAGGATTAACCAAAGCCAGCTTTGCAGGAAGGCACCCTGCTTTATGCCATTACATAAGGAATGCATGCTTCTTATGGAAAAGCTTGAAAACCAGATAAAGAAAAAAAAAAAAGTATAATCTCACCCACTAGGGATCATTGTTAACATTTTGGTGTATATCTTCGCAAAGTACTTTAATGCATATTTTTGAAAGCATAATAATAATTTATTAAGCACTTAGTGTGTGCCAGGCACAGTGCCCTTTAAATAGATTATCTCCTTCAGTCCTCCAACAACCTGTGAGGTGTCCTCTCCACTTTACAGAGGAGGGAACTGGGACTCAGGGGAGTTAAATAACTCGCCCAGGGCCACACAGCTACGAAGTAGCAGAGCCAGGACCTGCACGCAAGCAGGCTGACTTCCCAGTATAGTCTGCTCTGTAACCTTTTTCCTCTTTGTACCCATTACCATGTTGTAAACACCTCTTTATGCCAATACACGTGTCGCTACAGCATCTTTTAAATAACCAGACAGCCTTCCACTCATATGAGCTGTCAGTTTTAATTCACCAGTTCCCTCTTGTTGAACACCAAGGCTGTTCTCAATTTTTGCTCTTGGAGATCCCATTCTAAGTAATGGCTCCATAGCTCTGCGCTTGCCTGCTTGCTTAGCGATTTGCTTAATGTAAGTGCCTTTGAATCAGGGTGGCGGGGGCAGTGGGTGTGCCTGTCTTTGAAGCTTTACACTTTGCCCTCCAGACCTAGTAAGTGCTCTATAAATGTCAGATATCAGTGTTCTCCCTCCAGTGCCCTCCTGCACTCTGGATATTATCACTTTCCCCTTTTCCTTCCTAATAATTCAAGGTTGCTGGTAGGTTTGGGTTAGCAGTCAGGGAAGCTAACCCCCTGAGTATTATGGAGTGAGAAAGTTATTGACTCAACTGTGGGGGTAGCTGGGGGCGTAGAGATCGAGAAGCGGGGGCTGGATGATGGCAGAGGAGCCCTGGCGTGGCAGCATGTGGAGCTGCTGGCAGGTGCTGCAGCGAGGCTGCTGGGGGAACCCAGGGCAGGGCGTGCTGTCTGTGCCCACTGGCGGCTGACTGAACTGGCCGTGGCTCGGGGGAAAGCGAGGACAAACTGGACCCTTGATGGCCGTCCACCTGCCAGTTGTCATGCACAGTCCTCCTGTGGTTAGCCCTGACCCAGAGCCAGGGGCAGGGGTCTGGGAAACGGGGTTCTGGCTCAGCCAGGTCGGCACCTGATGTCCACCACCCGCACTGCAGTGCTCTGGACTCAGGCAGTCATTCCTATTCCTGTTTCCTCAGGTGGCAGCATAGACAGTGTTCTGTCCCAGATCGCTGCCCAGAGGAAAAAAGCAGCCAGATTATCTGAGCAGAAGCCCAGCCATCGGTCAAGTCCTGTTGGGCCAGCGCCTGGCTCCAGCCCGTCTGAGCTCCTGGTCTCCTCTGCAGGTGGCAGTGTTCCTGGTGGCAAGGTGCTTGTTCTGTTCCCATCTGCTCCTCTGACGCTCACAGGTCCTGTTCTAGCATGGTCCACGCCTGGGGAGCACAGGCGGTGCCACCGTCGTGGGATAGGACTAAACCTCCCATCCGGCCGCACCTGGGCTTTCTGAGAAGGGTGGTTACCGAGATCATACCCTGTGCCCTTGGTCTCCTGCACACGTGTGTTCACCTCTCGCCCGATCTCCAGGATACCTCCAGGTGGGAGGGGTGCTGAGGTGTGGTGCGGTGCCGGGGTGAGCGCTAAGTTCTCCAGCCCTGCACTGGTCATCCAGCCTCACATGGCACATGCTTTTGTTCACTGATTTAGAGCAAAAGGGTTCAGAGTGTGGGTTCAGGAGCAACTGCCTGGGTTCTAATCGCAGCCTCACACTTTAGCATTTAGAATGGGGCTGGTACCTGGTATGCCTGTATAAGTGTCAGCTCTTACTGTTGACAGTCGTAGCAGTAGTATTTGTACTCCTTCCTTATGCATCCACTGTCCCCATCTTTGGAGCATCTGCTCTGTGCCTGGCACTTCCAGCAGTGAGGATCCAGCAGTGAACCAGGGGTTTGGTGACCGTTCTCAGGGTGTCACTACAGACACAGCCGTCTCACACTGGTGTGGTAGGGTCTGTCCTGGAGAGGGGAGGATGCTGTGGGGCATGGCTGGGTTTCTGCCGAGGCTTGAGGGCGTCAGTGACATCTAGACAGGGCTCTGAAGGATGAAGTGCCAGATGAAAGGGGCAAGGGTGGGGCAAGGGGGAGACTGTCCCAGGGTGAGGGGACGGCACGTGCAGAGCGCCGGAGATGAGAGTGTGGTGTAGGAAAGGAGCTAAAGGAAGGTTGGTGGGCAGGACAGAGCCAGGGCCTCACCTCCCTGCTCTGGCACCTTTCCTCCATTAGTGCAGCCCCAGAGCAGTCACCACGTTGGTAGCAAACTGTGGGATTTGCAATGCGTGGAAAACCCCACATGCCTCTGGGAGGGGAGGTCTTCCAGTGTCTTCAGAATCTTCCCCCTCCACCTCCTGAGTCCCTCCTCCGAGGCTGATTAATGGAGTGAGCCCCCAGAGTGTGGGTACCTAGTCATGAGCATGAACTGGCTCCTTTACCAGATGGCTCTCCAGGTGCCCCTGCAGTGGGGCAGTATAGCCCATTTCCTCCTCTGAGAGGACCCCAAGTCCAGGCACAACCGCACTCTTCATCTTATTTTCTAGATGTCTTAAGCTTTTTCCCTGAGAAAAGTTAGATCGTCTGAAGGCCTCACCCTTGGACCTTTGCCCAGAAGTGCCTCCAGAGATTGATGTCTTAATGGATGTATGAGAAATAGTCTTTATTTTCTGCCCAACCACTGTTGGTTATACAACTCTTTTTGTTATTCAAAGTCCCTTATGCATTGGACCTGTATAATTAGTTTCTTTACAATATAACTCCAGAAAAAATTTCTCTCTATACATTAGCATATTTTCTATTATGTTAAAAATTACTTGTGTAATAGGATTTATGTAATTAAGTTCCTTTTAGAATTCAGCTCTACGGAAAAATGTCTCTACTGATACTTCGATACATTTTATTTCATCAGATACTTCGATACATTTTATTTCATCAGATAGTAAGAATTCTATAATTAGCATATTTCACTTTTTGCCTTTGCTGCTAGGAGACTCAGCTACTCATTAAGGTAAATCTGCTACTCTAGAATTTTGATATAGTTTTCCTCTTCTCTGTTGTCTAAAATTTTCTGTTTCTATTTTGATGGTCTTATTAGATGTGTTATATATTGTTAGCTTCCTTTAATTGGTGTTGGAAATAGGTAGGCATCTAAGTTATAAATTATATTAACTATTACCTCACTTGGATGCACCTATCATTTAATCTATATACAAGTGTGTTCTGATGAAAGGAAATTGTGTCTAAAGATGCATTCAGGAAACAGAAGACTGGGGAAACAATTCAGTTTAATGATCACCTGATATTCTTAACATAAGAATATGCTGTAATCCTGGGGAGCTATTTAAAAATTCAGATTACTGGGTTCCACACAGCATAACTGAATGAAACTCTTAGGGTAGGGTTAGGGGAATCTGTTTTTCTCCCCAGAGAGTGTTGCAGCCAGCCCAGCCCAAGTTCTTAGAAACCACTGCCCTAAACCAAAGGACACAGGAGTGGGCTTTCTGTCAAAGGCTCCAGCAGCAAAATGGAGACATGAAGTGCTTTTCAAAGACTCTTTAGGAAGAATTAGAAATTAGTATTCAAAATATGAGCCTCCTAAATCTGGGTTTTGTACTTTGCTTAAAACAAGCACCACTGCGATGGCGGGATATTTGTAAGGCATGGCTTCTCACATGAAGTGTGCCTTAGGAGACACAGAATTGGGGGGAATGGGATCAGAGTATGCTTCAACACTTCCCAGATCTCAGGAAGCCCAAAGGCCCACTGGGAATTTCTATTCCCACCCGAAAGCACAGTGGTTTAAAACAGAAGGCATTTCTTTTGCTTGCAAATCTGTGGCTGGGCAGTTTAGTCTTGACTTAGTTAGGCAGTTCTTCTGGTCTGAGGGCGTCACTTAGATGTTTGGCTTTTGCCTGGGGTGACCAAAAAAACAGGGCCATGTATGCCCACAGCAAGCTTGGGTATGTTCTAATGGCACCAGTCAAAGGCATAAGTTGAAAACCAATCAAGTAACCAAGTCATCACACCCTCTGTGCAGGAGACCACACAGAGTTACATAGCAAAGGGTATTGATCCAGGGAGGGGTGGAGATGATGCCATTACATGATCAATCTGCCACACTGCGGATGAGAGGAATGGTTCAAATATTTCAGAGCATCCCAAATTTTATATTTATCTGCTCCCTCCCCAATAATGCTGCACACAAGGCCTAGAGTATTGTGTTTCTTTGCTCTTGGCTGGGATAGATCTGTTTCTTAGGGATATACCAATTACCTTCTGCTTAACCAGAAGCTTTATTATGGAATGTGTGTCTTTATAGAAAAAGCAGAAGGAAGAATTCCTTAATAATATAGGCAGCTTATTGACAAAGTCTTTTAAAACGTAAGAAAGGGACTTCTTTTTCCACTCTGGGTTGTAGTTAGCTCGAAGGAGCATTAAAGCCCTAGCAGAAGGAAAGGTGTACCCATTTCCAGGCAGGAAAATATTTGTCCTGGTCTCTACTATTCTAAATGAGATGTCCAATTTTTAGCATAAATTATAAGACGTACAAAAAGGCAAGAAACACCACACTCCCAAGAAGTAAGGCAGTCATCAGAATCTGATGTAGATGTGAAACAGGTGTTGGAATTATGTGACAGGAAATTTAAAAGAACTACAATTAATATGTTAAAGGCTCTAGTGGAAAATTTGAACAGCATGCAAGATCCTATGAGTAACAATTTCAGCAGAGAAATGGAAACTATAAGAAAGAATCAAATGGAAATGCTAGAAATAGAAAACCTGTAACAGAGATTAGAAATGCCTCTGATGGGCTCCTCAGTAGACCTGACACAGCCAAGGAAAGAATCAGTGAACCTGAAGATAGGGCAATAGAAATTACCCAAACTGAAACACAAAGTAAAAAAGAAGGTAAAGCAAAAGAAAAAAAGCAGAGCACCCAAAAGCTGTGAGATAATATCAAATACTCTCACATACAAGTAATTGGAACCCCTGAAGAAAGAGAGAATGGTGGTGCAGAGGAATATATATGTATTTTTTAATGACCAAGAATTTCTCCCCAAATTAATGATGGATGCCAAACCATAGGTCTAGGAAGTTAAGAGAACACTAAATAGGATAAACACCCCCAAAAGAACACTTTGTCAGAGTAATTCACCATATTAACAGACTAAAGAATAAAATGCAGAAAAAGCACTTGGCAAAATTCAAACTCCATTCACGATCACAACTTTTGGCAAATTAAGAATTGAAAAGAAATTCCTGGACCTCATGTAAGATACCTGTACTTAGCATCATACTTAATGGTGAAAGACTGAGTGCTTTCTGCCTAAGATCAGGAATAAGGATGTTGTCTCTCAACTTTGTACCAAAAACTATAGCTAGTGTAATAAGGTAAGAAACAAATAAAAGGTACACAGATGGGAAAGGAAGAAAGAAAACTATCTCTATTTTTAGATGATATGAATGTCTGCTTAGAAAACTCAAAAACATCTACACAAAAGCTCCTAGGACTAAGAAGTGAGTTCAGCAGGGTCTCAGGATACGAGGTCAATATACAAAAGTCCCAATGTATTTTTACACACTAGCAATGAAGAATTAGAATTAGAACAGTTAGACTTTTAAAATGAAACTTAAAATATCATTTACAATACATTTGAAGTGTATTATATGAAAATAAAATTATATGAAAATGTATTATGAGAATGAAATACTTAAGTATAAATCTAATAAAGTATACGCAGAATCTATAAGTTGAAAACCACAAGACACTGATAAATCAAATAAGCTTAAATAAATAGATACCAATTTTTTTGTAATTTGATCTATAGATTCAATGTAATCCCAATTAAAATCCCAGCTAGCTCTTTTTGTAGAGATCTAGAAAGTGATTCTTAAATTTATATTTAGATGCAAATAAACTATAATAGGCAAAAGAATTATGAAAAAGAGAATCATAATACCTAGTTTCAAGACTTACTATAAAACTACAGTACAGTATTAGGGAAAGACAGACACACAGGTCAATGCAACAGAATAGAGAGGCCAAAGAATAATCAACTGAATTTTTTGTTTTTTACAAAGGTGCGAAGGCAATTCAACAAAGAAAGGGTAGTCTTTTCAACAAATAGTGCTGGAACAATTAAATATGCAGGAAAATGAACCTTCACATATTTCTCACAGCTAATTCAGAGATTAACTCAAAATGGATCATAGACTGAAATACAAAATGAAAAACTATAAAATTTCTAGGGGAAAGTCTGTATGACTTTGGATTTGGCAAGTAAGTTTAAGATATAGTACCAAAAGCATGATCCATAAAAGAAAAAAATGTTAAATTCGACTTTATGAAAATTCATATCTTTTGTCTGTAAGAGACAGCATTAAGAGAATGAAAAGACAAGCCACAGACTAGACAATATATTTGCAAATCATGTATCTGATAAAGGTCTTGTATCCAGAATAAAGAACTCTCAAAACTCAACAATGAGAAAACAACCAATAAATTTAAAAATGGGCAAAGTATCTGAAAAGTATCATGAAAGAAAATATGCAGATGGCACGTAAACATATGAAAAGATGTTCAACATCATTATTTAGGGAATGCTACTTAAAACCACAGTGAGACAGCACTCTACACCTATTATTAGACTGCCTAAAATTAAAAAAAAAATTAAGTTACAAGTGCTGTGAGAATGTGGAGCTACTGTAATTCCCATTCATTGCTGGTGGGAATGCAAAAATGATACAGCCGCCTTGAAAAAGTTTGTCAGTTTCTTATAAAACTAAACATACATATAGCATGTGACCTGGCTCTCTCACTCCTAGATATTTACCCAAATGAATTTTTTTAAACTTCTGTTTATACAAAAATCAGTTTGTGAATGTTTACAGCAGTTTTTTCATAAATACCCCAAATTAGAAACATCTCATAACAGGTGAACATGTAAACTAACTGTGGTAACATCCATGCAATGGAATACTACTCAGCAATGTAAAAGAACACACTACTGACACATGCAGTAACTTAAATGAATCTTAGAGGCATCATGCTGCATCAGACAAAAAAGTGTACATATCATTTAATTCCATTTATATGACAGTATACAAAAGGCAAAACTATAAGGATGGAAAACAGATCAGTTATTTCCATGGGTTGGGATGGGGGGAGGGGTTGACTAGAAAGAGACAGCACAAGGGAATATGGGGGATGATGGAACTGTTCCATATGGTACTCTGTTGGTGGAATACACAACTCTACGTATTTATCAATACCTGTAGAATTGTACACAACAGTTATTTTTACTGTATGCAAATTTTTAAAAAATCAACCAGGACCTAAGGATGTACGCAGACTATGACAACAGATGTAGTTGTATTACAAGTGAATGACATAACTGCACTGTAGGAGGTGGGAGAAAACATGTAAATGGATATTGTGAGAGTAAAGTAAAGACAAAAAGAACTGTACAAAAGCATTGTACTCTAGTTGATTTTTTTTTAATTGGGGTATAGTTGTTTTACAATGTTGTGTTAGTTTCTCCTGTACAGCAAAGTGAAGTAGAGTTCCCTGTGCTATACAGCAGGTTCCCATTAGTTATCTATTTTATACATAGTAGTGTATATATGTTAATTCCAATCTCCCAATTCATCTGAGGTTTTTTTTTTTCTTGCAGGCGTTATGGTGTAGCAGTTGTGAAGCTACTTTACATATATATACCTTTTGTGTACATATACACTTTATATATATACTAGGGTTGAACAAATAAGTAAATATATTATAGATAATGAGCCCAGTTTTTAACTGTCAGAGATTGAGTCAAAGGGGAAATGCTAGAACTAATCCTGTGAGTATTGGATTGGAGTCAGAGGTATCAGTATGAATCAGTATGAATGTATGCATAAATATACATATATACACAGATTGATAGACATAGGAATATACTTATTGTAGAGCTATGTGTGTATGCATGGGTTAGTAGACTTCATATATTTCCTTGCTCTGTTCACTGAGAGGACCTAGAAGCAGTGATATCCCAGTAGCCATGAGCAACCTACTATCCAGATTTTGGTTTCTAAGTAGCACCCTCCAATAAAAGGGACCAGGGCATAACAGTAGTATTGGATTATAACCCAGAGAATAAATATCCACAAGCCTATGCTGATATGAATAAATAACTGAATAAATAAATCGGGGGAGAAGGAACAAGTCTTCTGTACAGAAGAATTCCAAGTAATAAATGTGGAAGGAATAAGGGAAATAGCAAAACACCATTAGAACATCACAGTAGTAATTGCTCCAGAGAAGATGCACCAAAGAATGTTAAAATTAGCAGGCAAAACTTTTAAGAAAAAACAAAATATTTAGCTCAAAATGTCTCCCCAAATATTTATTGGTTATAAAGGGAAAAATAGTAACTTCACAATGGAGAAACCTGACAGACAACACCTTAACTAAGTCATCAAGGCTAGCATCAGTGATAAGGTACTGATACTTTGTATCTCCTGGTGTGATGCACTGAGAATGGCACATCACCTCAGTGGTCATCAACCTCAAAATCCATAAGTAAATCTAATTATGAAAAAATAAGACACACCCAAATTGAGGGACTGTCTACAAATACCTGACCAGGACTCTTCAAAAGTGTCGAGGTCATGAAAGACAAGGCAAGACCAAGGAGTTTTCACAGATTGGAGGAGACTAAGGAGACCTAACAAGTCAATGCAGCATGGATCCTGGACCAGAATAAGAATCAGTGTAACAACCAGTGGTATTTGAGTACCGTTTGTAGTTTAGCTGATACTGTCCCAGTGTTAATTTCTTAGTTTCCGTAATTGTAAGTCTAAGAGTACTCACAAACATAGAAAACAAATTTATGATTACCAAAGGGGGGCAGGGAGGGACAAACTAGGAGTATGGGATTAACAGATACAAACTACTATACATAAAATAGATAAGCAACAAGGATTTACTGTATAGTCCCAGGAATTATACCCAATATCTTGTAATAACCTATAATGGAATGTAAACTGCAAAAAAAACCCTACCCAAATCACTATGTTGTACACCCAAAACTAGCACAACATTGTAAATCAACTGTACTTCAACAAAATAAAGTATTTCAAAATAAGAAGGGCTTTTTGTGTGCAACACACACAAAGGAAAAATAATAAGTGTTCTGTGGTGAAAGGTTAGAAGTGACTGGTTTAAATGAAGAAACATGAAGAGCAGAATGGGCCTTCGTTTGTAATAAGCCACACTTCCATTTTAGAGCTGGTTAACTGAGAGGTTAGGGGACTCAGCCAAGGACACAATATTGCAGCTGTAGGGGCAGGACTAGGACCCGGGTTTTCTGGCTCCTTATGTGCCACTTTTTCCATCCCATTCCCTGCCTCTCTGCTCCAGGGGAGGATTTTCCTGTAACTGTTTTGATAATACTGTTTCTGCTTTGCATGTTTTCTGAAGTAGATGTCATAGTCCTGGTTAGATATCTTGTTGAGTCAAATGTCCCACGTGTTCCCAGTTGTGGGTGTCTGTTTGAATCATGTCTACCCTCCAGGTGATGGCTTATGTATTTGTCTTATTCTTTTTAATTTTTTTTTGACTTTATAATCAAATTTATTAATAACCTCTGGAAATAAGAAAATATTACACATTTACACAATGAAGGATAAAGGCCTTTCTAATCTACAGACATACAGAGACAGATAAAGAGGGCTTATAGCTTGGATTCTAAAATTTCAGTCACAGGTCAAGAGTAAATGCAGAAACCCCAAATCTCACCAGTCCTGGTATGAAAGAGTTGTTTTCCCTCCCAGTGGGCAAAGGACTCAATTGATTTGGGCTCAAAATTGTATTTATCGGGCTTCCCTGGTGGCGCAGTGGTTGAAAGTCCGCCTCCCGATGCAGGGGACACGGGTTCGTGCCCCAGTCCGGGAAGATCCCACATGCCGCGGAGCGGCTGGGCCCGTGAGCCATGGCCGCTGAGCCTGCGCGTCCGGAGCCCGTGCTCCGCAACGGGAGAGGCCACAACAGTGAGAGGCCCGCGTACCACAAAAAAAAAAAAAAAATTGTATTTGTCTTATTCTTTTCAGCAGAAACTGGAGACGAGCAAAAGGCCTCCGTCTGGAACTTCCACTACCTCCAAAAGCACCTCCCCCACGCTCACGCCTTCACCTTCTCCCAAAGCGCAGGCAGCCGAGTCCTCCGTGTCCTCCTCCTCATCCCACCGTCAGTCCAAGAGCAGCGGGGGCTCCAGCAGCGGCACCATCACTGATGAGGGTGAGTCCCCTGGGTCCTGAAAGCCCACCCTTTCCTCTTCACCATGGTAACCTAGCAGCTGCCCTTCTTTGCTATAGCCATCCTAGGTCAGGTGTTTTATCATTTTTTCAGTCAGACAAAAACACCTGTCTTTCCCCTTCCCTGATTCTACCTTGTATTTTTGTCTTCACTGAGCTTACATACCTAAAAGGTGTATAGTAGTTTTTGAATGTAGGTGAGTTTTGTTTATATATACAAACAAACACCCATAGAACTGCTTCTCTGACCCCAGTTATGTACCTTTCCCTGAACCTTGTACAAATCAGAACTCTGTCAGTTGCAAGGGATGGAATCTCCACTCAAACTGATTTAAGCAAAAACAATACCAAAAACTGATAATTTGTTGGCTCATATAATGGAAATATCTAGGGTGTTCTTCAGGTGTGTCTGGATCCAGGTGCTTAGGGAGTGTTTTTCTCCATGTCTCAGGTAAGCTCTCTTCAAGTAGTGGCAAGGATATACCCAGCAGCTTCATGCTTACTTCTTCCTACTAACTTAGCAACCCCAGCAGAAAGAGTGCTACTTTCTTAGTAGGTACAGCAAAATCCCAGGGATAAAGGTCATTGTCCTGTCTTGGCTATATTTATAACAACTTGGGTTGTTTGCCCATCCTTGACTATCTCTGTGTCCCCAAGGGTGGAGTGTGTCTGCCTTTGGAGCCAGGGTTGGGGTCAGGTCTGTGTGGATTGGGAGAGGGAGAGAAGTAGCTCCTCAGAGGAAAATGGAAGTGGATGGAGGGCAAGCAAAAGCAGGAGATGTAACCAGGAGAACGTTGGAAGTTGCATGAGTAGGGATGATGAGGAAAGGCAGATGGACCGGACGGCTGGGCAGGGGTGGAGGCTGTGCAGTGAGGCCCCAGATAAAGATGTGAAGATATAAAAGATAAAGGAGAGAAGAAGCTCATCCTTTACAACTGCCCTCTGGTGGCTCCTGGGAGCAGGGATGGGGGAGGAGGGAGCAGGGCTTTGATGAGAGATGGGGCCCAGGCAGGTGCAAATCAAGGAGTATAAATCAGAGAGGGGAGGAAACTCTCATTGTGTGTGTGGTCCTCACAAGTGCATTTGCAGGCATCTTGCTGCAGCTACTGGGAGGGAGTGCAGAGCAGGTTCTGCCCAGCAAGGGATAAGTTGAAATCAACTGCACAGGCTCTGGTCTGTACTGAGTTGATAAATGTACACTGCCATTGGCATCCGCTTTATTTGGGGCTGCTTTTATTGTTTTGTGATATCTAGTGCAATCATTTATAAAAGCTTCAGAGATTCACTTAGCAACCCCATTCCTCCCTAACTGTGTCTTCTTTTTTATATGATGTTTTTTCTTTTTCTTTTCTTTTTTTTTTTTTTTTGGCCACACCATGTGGCTTGTGGGATCTTAGTTCCCCAACCAGGGATTGAACCCAGGCCCTTGGCAATGAGAGCGTCGAGTCCTAACCACTGGACCACCAAGGAATTCCCCCTAACTGTGTTTTCTGTGTGGAGTCTTAATTTCCCTACCCATGAACTCTCCCACCTCAGAGGCTTTCAGGAATCTAAACTCCTACAGGTTCAGTTTGGGATTTGTACCCCACCTTTTTCCAAAAAAGAGTTGAGACAGTCATCAGAATGCACTATGTCCACTTTGCTCCCCTCTCATTCATTATTAAAAAAAAGGTTTGCAAAGCCCAGTTGGGATAAAAACAGGAGGACCTGACAGCAAATTCTTTTTAGATTACCTTCTCTGGCTTAGAAAGCCTAGTTTTCCCTCCTGGGGTTCCTGGGTCCCGAGGCAGCCAGACCCTTGTCCTTCAGGCATTAGATTATCACAGACCAGAGCCTGCAATCTATCCCCAAATAGCCATTCTTTATGATATTTTTGTGGGAAATCTGTAGCCTCAGTCAAGGACTGCATGCAAGCCTTTGCCCTGCACATCCTCCCACCTGTGTCCGTCTGTTCATTCCTCCTGGAGGAAGTGGTGGGGCGGTGACGACGTGGCCTTCTCAGCCTCACATTCCTTCTATGAAGGTGACTGGGGCAGGCCCTGGGTGCTGTAACCTGTGCCAGTGTCAGCGTAACTCATCATCAGGCTGGGGATTCAGATACATTCCACATAATAACATTAAATGATTGTAACGCAAGGTGGGATCAAACGTGTGTTATCAGCAAGGCACGAAGCACCATGGCAGGCTTCACTGAAGAGTGGCCCTCGTGCCGGCCCAGGAGGACTGAGAAGAGTAGGGGGCTGGGAGCCGGGAATGGTGGCCCAGAGCTGATTGTTACATTTGTAGGAAACAGTTGAGCTGGCAATTAAACACAGCTGTTTAAAGTCAAATTACAACAACAAAAATATGTGTAAAAAAAAGACAGGGACCTCCCCAGCGGTCCAGTGGTTAAGACTCCATGCTTCCAATGCAGGGGGTGTGGATTCGATCCCTGGTTGGGGAATTAAATCCCACATACTACATTGTGCCGGCCAAAAAGTTTTTAAAAATAAAAATAAAAATGCTTAAAAAAAAAGAAGACAAAAAAAAAGTCAAACTGCATGAACTTTTAATTAAGCTGATTATGTTGCATGTAAAGGTATGTGGCATTTAAAACAAAATATATTATTTACTAATTTTTAGTGCGTTTTACTAATACCTGTTCTCTTAAGGTTCTTTATGTCTCTTTTATCTACGTCGTGGGAATATTGTGTATTGATGTGTTACTGCTGTGCATCTTTCCCAATTCCACTTCTAGGAACATGATGTTGGTAGGTTGAAATTGACCACAATGGGGCATTTATACCACGGAAATCAGCAAATACCCACTAGGGCTTGATTTAATGTTTTAAAGAGCATCTGGATGTCATCTAGACAGTGACAGAGACAGTGTTAATTATACAGGTTAAACTTTAACTGTTTAACCTGTTATATTGAAAATAACATTAAAAATTGAGAAAATATTCTTCAAGGTTTTGAAAACCATTATCTGTTTCAGCAAAGTTGCTCACATGAAGTTCCAACATATGTCTTCATCATTTCATTTCATCTCGCACGTTCACGTAAACAGAAGCATTAGTGAGCCTTCATGTAGGAGCTACACTCATTGGCTGTGTCTTCAAGAGTAAGGCAAAAATCAATGAAGGCATTCAGTGAGACGCCTGAAATGCAGTGAAGGCATTGGCTATATGGAATTTATAATACAGAGTATTGTGTAATTTATTATTGTATGTAAATTGTGCACACACATCCTTAAATCAGTAAAATCATGTACTTATATACGTGCGTACACTCCCCCTCCCAGAAATCCAGTTGTTAAACATTTACCAGCACACAGGTGTGGAGAGAGACCCGTGGAGGGAATGACAGCAGCAAAGCATGATAGGTGTCATGAACCTATAATAGATTATGTGTGGACTGGGACTCGTTTCATCTCATACATCCTAGTTCATTAGCACCTCTTCTGCGAAGCCTGTCCGGTCCCTTGGGCTGGTCAGCTGTCCTCTCTGTCCCCAGATCCCCTTATTCATGCCCTTCACCATATACTCATCACCCGTGGGAGAAGTGGCAGAGCAGTGTGTGTAGCAGAAGCCTGGTAGCCAAACCACTGTGTTTGAATCCCTGCTGTGCCGTGGACTAGTGGTGTGACCTCACCCGAGATACGGTACCCAGCTTTCTGTGCCTTCCTCATCTGCAAATGGGGACAGTAAGAGGGTCTACCTCATGGGGTTGTTAAGAGGAGGCGCATCATCCATACAGGGTGCCTGACAGTGAGCACTGTGCATCAGCTGTCACCCTCTTCATGATATCTTCCCAGCTACACTGAGTTCCTTCACAGCATGGACGTTTCCATCCTTGCATTCCCAGTACGTAGTAGGCACAGTAGTAGCCACTGTTGAATGATGAATGAGTGAATAAAAGGACCTCTGACCTCCTAACCTCCAGTCCACTCTTTTGTAAGCTGCCCCCGCTGCCCCAGGACCTTTGCACTTGCTGTTCTCACTGCCTGGATGCTGCCTGGTGCTCTTTGCCTTGATATCTGCACAGCTCACTCCTTCATTTACTGCTCAAATATCTCCTTCTGAGAGGCCTTCCCTGACCACCCTCTACAAAACAACATTCTCACATCCCCTGTCAACCTCCCCCACCCTGCTCTGTTCTTCCTCATTGCCTTGAGCCTGACAGCCTGCTTATGGTCTGCTTTGGTCCCTATTGAGTCCCCAGTGCCTGGTCTGATAAATCCTTATCGAATGTGTGAAGGAATGTTTCTTAAAGCCCCCACAGATGCTGCTTTTGTCTCCTTTATCTTCCCTGCTCTGATAACTTGATACTCAAAATCTTCTGTTTTCCCCTGGTCTGTGCCCATCTGGCTCTGCTGTTCCATTCAGACACGCCCTTCCTTCAGGAAGCCCACAGACTCCGAATGCTTGAGGCAAACCTTGACTCTGGTCTGAAGCCCACCTGCCTGTTCTCTCCAGTTCTTTCTCTGTCTAGCTGAGGACTGCTGGCATTAGTGTTTACTGCAGCTGTAGCTAACAACATTCAAGAAATCATAATTAAAAATTGTTCTGGGACAGACAGGAGGGTTTTAGTTCCCAGCAGCTAGAACTCCAAGAACTTGATGGTCCCGCCATTGGAGAGTCAGCCGTTGGAGCCTGGCCATGAACTGCCCCCCCATCTTGTGTCTTCATAGCCCAATCTGGGGTTTTGGCAAATGCTGAGAGCCTGCCCTAAGGGAAGATTATGGTCAACAGGTGGCTCGGGACCCACCTTCAGCTTCATCCCCAGGAACGCACCTTAGATCTGTTTTCTGTGTTGGGGTTTCTGGTAGAATTTCGAAATAAGATTACCACTGTTTTATGAAAGTTTGAAGATCACTCGATACATTTTACCAAATGCTAAAATATCTTATTTTACATTCTTTCCCTCTTGAAGATGAACTGACTGGAATCCTTAAGAAATTATCACTTGAGAAATATCAGCCCATTTTTGAGGAGCAAGAGGTAAGGATGTTCTTTTTTGTTTTTTTTTGCAGTACGCGGGCCTCTCACTATTGTGGCCTCTCCCGTTGTGGAGCACAGGCTCCGGACGCACAGGCTCAGCAGCCATGGCTCACGAGCCCAGCCGCTCCGTGGCATGTGGGATCCTCCCGGACTGGGGCAGGAACCCGTGTCCCCTGCACGGCAGGCGGACTCTCAACCACTGCGCCACCAGGGAAGCCCAGGATGTTCTTTCTGAATGTCAATTTATATCTTACCATAAAACAGTTGTCTAAATATGTAGGTTGTCATCCTGTAAGCCTAGATTGATCTTTTTCACTGAGCTAGCTGAGGAAATAGAATTCTTGTTCAGCACATTTGGTTCAGTTCATAACAGTGAAATCCTGGGGACCTTATGACTTGTTTTATTATAATAGAATTGTATAATTTTGAACTCTGCTCTCTCTAGTGAAGTTTGTTTCTGTCCTTCTAGTTGAAGGGGATTGCCTGGCAGGGTCTTAGGTTTAAAGCAGGTGAAAAAGCAAATCCTGATGAACCTGTGTTCAGTATCTGGATGTAAATAGTCTGTGTTAGTCTAAGAGGGTTCCTATTTGCTGTAAAGCGCTCACCATCACATTTTAAAAATTACTGTCCTGCAGTTTGGCAGTTTCTCAAAATGTTTAGCAGAGTTACCTTATGACCCAGAAATCCCTCTCCCAGGTATATACCCAAGATAACTGAAAGCATGTGTTCACACAGAGTGTTCATAGCAGCACTATTCATAGTAGCCAAAAAGTGGAAACGACCCAAATGCCCCTCAGTTGATGAATGAATAAATAAGACGTGTTATCTCTATACCATGGAATGTAGCTAGGCCATGAAAAAGAAGGAAATGCTGATACACACTACAACATGGATGAGCCTTGAAAACACTGTGCTAAGTGAAAGAAGTTAGTCACAAAAGGCCACATATGGTATGACTCCATTTATATACACTGTCCAGAATAGGCAAATCTATAGAGACAGACAGTAGATTAGTGGTTGCCAGGGAATGTGGGGAGGATAGAATGGGAGTGATTGCTAATGAGTATGGGTTTTCTTTTTGGGGTGATGAAAATGTTCTAAAATTAAGTGTGGTGACGGTTGCATAACTCTGCACTAAAAATCTTTGAATTGCACACTTTAAATGGGTGAATTGTATGGTAGGTGAATTACGTCTCAATAAGATGTTAAAATTTTTACTGCTGGCCAAATAAAACTCCTCAGTGGGCCCATTAGCCACCAGGGTGTAATCACTGGCCTAGAACATTCTGGTGCCCAGTTTAGCACATGACAACTGTCATAGTTATTGTAGCAATCACGAGAGTCACTCATTGTCCCCAACAAGCTTGAGACGCAGTTGAGGAGTTTGTTTTTTTTTGGGGGGGGGTAATACACAGTATATTGGCATTCAAAGTAAATACAACAGATCATGTTTAAATTTAAAAGGGTCTGCCTCCGAATAAAAGCCAAAAGCCATTATAAAAAAAGGCATTGTGGTTGTGAAGAAAATCCAGTCTCTATAAAAATAATTCAAGCTAAATTATGGCAAGAGAAATGTTCCTCACTGGGCAGATGAACTCAACCTAGTCAGTTTGATTTAAATATTATTTAACATTTTCTCTGTTATTTGAGAAGGCAGAATTATTTGGTCATTAGGATCTTATCTAATTCATAAATTCCAAAATCTGAGGAGTTTGTATTTTTGTTCAAGAAACAGTAAGGGGTGCTGTGGCTTTCTTCCTTGGTTTGCTTTTCTGCCCTATCCAGCCTGTCCTTCCTGCCTCCTTGATGTCTTAAACTTCAGTGGCGATTGTTCTCATCGTCAAAAAAATCTTTACTGTTTGCTGATGGCTGCCTGCTTTTATTTTATGCGTTCCGTGCTTTCTGAGGAGCTGGGTGTGGGGTCTCTGCCACAGGTCTGGGATGGTGGGGGAGGGGAGTATCCAGCAGGGCCGGGGGCAGGTGGTTTCCGTCAAAATCATGTCACCTCTTCCTTGAACCTGTTAGCACCTTGTGATCTGTAAAGTCTCCGAGGGATTCAGGGAGCTTATCCGTTATCAGAGGGATCCTCTGTGCATCTCAGGGAGAGCTTGATGTTGGATAAGGGAGCAGACCCTTCCCCACTAACTCAAACCTGGTTCAAGATTTTTTTTTAAATCCAGGAAAGTAAAGTGACTATTAAAAGAGATCAAGACAGGGAAGAAATTTCTCCTGTAACTGAGGCCTAGGCAGGGATGACAGAAATGTTAGAATTTCTCTGGCAAAAACCAAGGATTGAACAGCTTTGAGATGCCCTTTTTTTTCTGGTAAAAACCAATGGCCCTTCTTTCCTTTATTGCTTCTGCTTGTTTATTTTCTCACTCTATCTTTCCACAGTCTGCATCTCTCTTGTCCTTGGGGGGGGGAAACATGGTGAGTACTGCCACATACTCATATTTTCTGTGCAGTATCGGATACTGTTAAAAGTGCAGCAACATTGGAATTAACTTTCTAGTAGCAAGACTTGGATTTTTTACCACTCGAGTCACCCAGATTACTGTCTCAGAGACTTCCCTTACTTGTTTCGTTTTCAGAGTCTTTCCAGAATGCACCTCTCCTAAAAATCCCAGGCCTAGAGCTGAGGAGAGTTCGTTTTTTTGGTTTTGTTTTGTTTTTTATTTTATTTATTTTTGGTTGCATTGACTCTTCATTGCTGCGCGTGGGCTTTCTCTAGTTGTGGCGAGCGGGGGCTCCTCTTCGTTGTGGTGCGTGGGCTTCTCATTGCAGTGGCTTTTCTTGTTGCAGAGCATGAGCTCTAGGCATGCGGGCTCAGTAGTTGTGGCACACGGGCTTAGTTGCTCCGCGGCATGTGGGATCTTCCCGGACCAGGGATCGAACCCGTGTCCCCTGCATTGGCAGGCGAATTCTTAACCACTGCACCACCAGGGAAGTCCTGAGGGTTCGATTTCAATGATGTTTTCAAATAAACTTTCAGCATAAAGCCAGGACTTGGAAGTAGTCAATCATAATTAATTCACTGCTCATAAGCACTAATAGCTCGTTACCGTGATAGTCTTGTTGTGGCTGCGGAAAAGAGGTGTGGCGCCGAGCAGACAGCAGCGAATCCCCCTCTCTCTCCCCAGGTGGATATGGAAGCGTTCCTCACGCTCACCGATGGCGACCTGAAGGAGCTGGGTATTAAGACAGACGGGTCCAGGCAGCAGATTTTGGCAGCGATTTCTGAACTGAACGCAGGCAAGGTATTGTTCTCAACCTTTTTTTTTTTTTTCCTGTTTCCAACAGCTGAGAGCTTCACTAGGATCCTCGGCCCCAGTGTTCCAGGGACCTTCATGGTCTGATTTCATCTCTTCCCCACACCTGGTGGACGACAGCCCCGCTCATACACCTCTCATCACCGAAGGGTCACTACCTTTGAGTATGCCTGTTCCTTTTCGAGATCTCTCTTCCCATAAGGTGGTTTCTCCTTCGATTTGGCTAAAACATTCCCTCCGGTCATCTCACCCCACCGGGCTGGGTTTTGCCCTCCGGAGCACAGTGGAAGTTGATTAAGACAGGCCGCGGAGTCAGGCCGACCTGGGTTTGAATCCCAGCTCCTCCACTTACAGTGACCCTGGGCAAGTCACACCCTTCTCTGAGCCTCGCTTTCTTGTCTGTAGGGTGGGGGTGATGGGCTCGCTGCCGGGACTAAAATGCTCCGCAGAGCACCTGGCACACAGAGATCTGTCAGTCAGTGTTGTTGTTGTTGTTGGCATCCTGCATTTTTGTCTAATGTTCAACTTCTGTTTCACCAGCTTTAGAGCTAAAGATTAGCAATGCCCCCACCCACCCATCCACCCACCCAAAGGCACATATGCAAAAAACAAACAAGCAAACAGAACACAAGAGAAGTGAGGCACCACTCACTCTGCAGACAGTTGTACAGTCGCTCTTGGGCTATTCACATTCCTTTGCCTTCTGTCTTTTTCCCTAACGTGGGCTGGATTTTTTTTGGTCTCTTATTCAAGCAATAACGTATAAATACTTGCATACCTGTTGCTCTTTCACACTTAGCCAAACAGCTCCCCACTTGGTGGACAATAGTGACAGGTAAAATCTGGGATTTGACCATCGTAAATAGTACCAGAATGGACATCTCTGCCTTTTTGCTTTTTCTTCTGTTGTTTTGTTCTTCAGGCTGTGTTCCAGAATACAAGGTTATGTTAGCGATCATACCATTTTATGGTTCTTTCTATATATTGCCAGGTAGGCACAGAAATATTGAACAGGCCTGTAGTGACAATCTCAAGTAAATATCCACGTAACAGTTTATCATTCACAGATCACTGTGCATACCTTTCCTCAGTTCATCCGGGAGGCCGGTACCCTCACACTCTCCTCGTGCAGCCCAGGAGAAGAGTCGGGGGCAGGGAGGGGGTCCTCCTCACTGGTTCCTGCAGCATGACACTGTGTGGAAGCAGCTCCTCCTGCCCTGCAGCCTCACCGGGTTGGGGGCTGGTTTTTCTGCCATCGTGGTCGTCACTGTTTTACCTGTGTGTAGGCTGTGAGGTCGTCCTTCAAAGTGATGTAGTCGGCATTGCTTCAGGCATTGCAGGTGTCTGCAAGCCTAAGCATTTTCCTGCAGGTCTTTGCTGTGTGTTCTTTCTCCTCTGCAAGTGGCCTGTTCCTAAACACTGCTCACCTGTCCTGGGACCCTTGCTGCCTCACTTTACAGATAGGGAAGCAGAGGCTCCGGGAGAGGCAGTGAGCCCCAACTCGGAGACCAGCACCATTTCTGCCCTGCCCTTAGACATGAGCAGCAGAAGATGGGCAGGTCTCGGCTGCTAGGAAGGGTTCACCTAGGGAACGGAAGCCTCAGGGTGGCTTACCGCAGGTGGATCACCTGAAGCCAGCACTAAACTCTTCAGAGCATTGATTTATTCATGAGAAATCTCCCTTTAACTGTCTGCCATGTCCCAGGCACTGTGTGGGTGTTGAGCACTGAGTATCACTCAGTGCCCAGCATTGCTCTGAGCACGTCACATCTAGTCATTCGAGTAACCCTCACGAAAGCTGCTGAGGTTGTTTCCAGTTTACAGATGAGGGAAATGAAGCACAGAGAGATCAGGGAACTTGCCTAAGATCACACAGTCAGTAAGTGGCAGAGGCAGGATTAGAACCCAGAGTTTGTGTCCTGGCCTCTCTGCTATCCTGCCTCGGTATAATCCACAGGCACGGGACAGGCAAATTGTGTTGTGAGAGCTCCTGACTTAGAGTGGGGACTGGTAAGGCAAGGGCCTGGAAGACGTCCCCGAGGAAGGGCAGGAGGGCTGCAATGTGAAGGAAGACAGGAACCACCTGGCAAAGGGGTAGAAGAAAAGTGCAGACCAGGCAGAGGGCAGCACATGTGCAAAGGCCCTGCAGTGAGAAGATGTGTGGTGCATTTAAAGAACTAAAGGAGTGGCTGGAGCATGGAGAGAAAGATGCCTGGTGTGAGGGGAGGCCAGAGGGGACAGATTAAGGCTCTCAGGGTGGTTGAGGGTGACCCAGTCAAGTGTCCAAGGGCTTCGGGGTGGGGACTAGGTGAGTGATGGTAAGGAGGCTCTGGCTCAGAAGTTAGTACCCTTCCTCCTCCTGGCCTCCAAGGGCCAGATATGTGAGCCAAGGGGAGGAAGGAGGTGAGGAAAGCCCAGCCTAGGCCAGTCGAGAAGGACAGAAAAGATTCTAGATGTAGGGCCAGTGAGGACCTCGGAGGGCATGGAAAGACAGGAGCTAGGTGTCCCTGGAGCCTGGCCTGGGGCTTGGTAGATGGTAACCGCTAATGCTTCTGGAACCTCTCCTCTGCCCTCAGTGGTTATGGCCTCCTTGGTCCAGAATCATAAAAAGAAAACAGACTGGGTTGGTTTGCAAATCTTAGGAAACTGTCATCATCAGAGTGGATGATGTGACATCTCAAGCCCACTCCAAAGGAGGACATTTGTCTTAAAGTCTGTACAGGCTAGAACATTTTTTTCTTTAAGTTTTCTCTGAAATTAATTGCCCCCCTTCTCCTTGTTTCTGTAACAGCTTGTATCCCATACTAAGCGGGGCCCCATCAAGAGGAACATCTGCTGGTGGTTGTCTTAGTTCGGGCTGCATAACAAAATACCTAAACCAGGTGGCTTGTAAATGGAAATTTAATTCTCAAAGTATGGAGGCTGGAAATCTAAGATCAGGGTGCCAGTGGTTGAGTTTGGTGAGGGTCCTATTCCAAGTTGCACAATGCCACCTTCTCATGTGTCCCCATGTGACCCATAACAGAGAGAAGCCAATCTCTCTTATCTCTTCTTATAGGGACACTGATGGTGTCATGGGAGGCTGACCCTCATGAGCTCACCTAATCCTAATCACCCCCCAAAGGCCCCACCCCCTAACACCATCACATTGATGGCTTAGGGTTTCAACACAGGACACAAACATTCAGCCCAATACCGTGGTCTTCCTTGGGGGCCCCAGCTGATCATCTCCCAACTGAAAGATCCGGGTGCATCCAACATGCCACGCCACCCATGTCCTCCCCACAGGTAGCATCCACCCTGCAAAGTCAGGCAAACCCACGTGGAGATAGGTGCAAGGGGAAGGGGCCGAGCTGAACTAATCGCTGGAGAATGGCCCTATTATTCAAGGGTCAGTAGTGCCAAAGTCCTGTGGAAATGAGGACTGTGTGTCAAGTGCATCTTAGAGCAAAGGTATGATTGGGAGACGTTGAATATCACAAAAGCAAGTGTATCTTCCCTACTCTAGGTTACCATTGCAAGTCTGTGCTGGTTCTTAGAAAGAGCAAAGAACTTCTCAGGCCGAGTGTGGCTTCCAATAGCTCTTTGGACGCCTGGGGCCTCGGCTCTTCTGGGCTGGACCCGCCTGACCCCGACTCCTGTCTCCTTCTTGATTGCTCTAGGGCAGGAGCTTCTCCTAATGTTCATCCTCTTTCTTTTGAAACTGAACCTTGGCCAAAAGAGTACCCATTGTAGCTCAAATGCTCTGTACACATTTGAAAACTCAGGACACTTGGGAGAGGAGATGCCCAGCTTTCCTTGTCCCCTCACCCCCATGTCTTTCTAGCTGTGGTCCACAGCATGCTGGAGGGTTGTGGAATTAATTTAGTAGTTCATGAGTAGCATTTTAACAAGCAAAATAGAACAGAGCAGAAAATATCAACGTTCTTTGCAGGTAAGAAGGCTAAAGCTTGTTTAAGTTGTATGGATTTACATGTAACAGGGTTGTTCATACACAATCAAAAAAGTTTGAACATTTTAGCCAAAAAAATTTTTAATAGATCTTTATTGGATGGAGTATAATTGCTTCACAATACTGTGTTAGTTTCTGTTGTACAACAAAGCGAATCAGCCATATGCATACATATGTCCCGATATCCCCTCCCTCTTTAGCCTCCCTCCCATCCTCCCTATCCCACCCTTCTATGTCATCTCAAAGCACTGAGCCAGCCTCCCTGTGCTATGCTGCTGCTTCCCACCTGCCAACTATTTTACATTCAGTAGTGGATATATGTCGATGCTACTCTCACTTTGCCCCAGCTTCGCCCTCCCACCCCATGTCATCAAGTCCATTCTCTATGTCTACCTCTTTATTCCTGCCCTGCAACTAGGTTCACCAGTACCATCTTCTTTTTTTTCTAGATTCCATATATATGCATTAGCATACGGTATTTGTTTTTCTCTTCCTGACTTACTTCACTCTGTAGGTCCATCCACCTCACTACAAATAACTCAATTTCGTTTCTTTTTATGGCTGAGTAATATTCCATTGTATATATGTGCCACATCTTCTTTATCCATTCATCTGTTGATGTACACTTAGGTTGCTTCCATGTCCTGGCTATTGTAAATAGAGCTGCAATGAACATTTTGGTACATGACTCTTTGAATTATGGTTTTCTCAGGGTATATGCCCAGTAGTGGGATTGCTGGGTCGTATAGTAGTTCTATTTTTAGTTTTTTAAGGAACCTCCATACTGTTCTCCATAGTGGCTCTATCAGTTTACATTCCCACCAACAGTGCAAGAGGGTTCCCTTTTCTCCACACCCTCTCCAGCATTTATTGTTTCTAGATTTTCTGATGATGCCCATTCTGACTGGTGTGAGGTGATACCTCATTGTAGTTTTGATTTGCGTTTCTCTAATGATTAATGATGTTGAACATTCTTTCATGTGTTTGTTAGCCGTCTGTATATCTTCTTTGGAGAAATGTCTATTTAGGTCTTCTGCCCATTTTTGGATTGGGTTGTTTGTTTTTTTGTTATTGAGCTGCAGGAGCTGCTTTTGACTTCTCCATCGAATCTGAATGAGATCCTTGCTGGGTAGAGTAATCTTGGTTGTAGGTTTTTCTCTTTCATCACTTTAAGTATAGCATGCCACTCCCTTCTGGCCTGCAGAGTTTCCACTGAAAAATCAGCTGATAACCTTATGGGGATTGCTTTGTATGTTATTTTTTGTTTTTCCCTTGCTGCTTTTAATATTTTTTCTTTGAATTTAATTTTTGTTAGTTTGATTAATATATGTCTTGGTGTGTTTTTCCTAGGGTTTATCCTGTATGGGACTCTCTGTGCTTCCTGGACTTGGGTGACTATTTCCTTTCCCATGTTAGGGAAGTTTTCAACTATAATCTGTTCAAATATTTTCTCAGACCCTTTCTTTTTCTCTTCTGGGACCCCTATAATTCGAATGTTGGTGCATTTAGTGTTGTCCCAGAGGTCTCTGAGCTTGTCTTCAATTCTTTTCATTCTTCCTTCTTTATTCTGCTCCTCAGCAGTTATTTCCAGCGTTTTGTCTTCCAGCTCACTTATTCGTTCTTTTGCCTCAGTTATTCTGTTATTGATTCCTTCTGGTGTATTTTTCGTTTCAGTTATTGTGTTGTTCATCTCTGTTTTTCTTTAGTTCTTTTAGATCTTTGTTAAATATTTCTTGTATTTTCTCAATCCGTGCTTGCATTCTATTTCCAAGATTCTGGATCATCTTTACTATCATTACTCTGAATTCTTTTTCAGGTAGATTGCCTATTTCCTCTTCATTTATTTGGTCTTGTAGGTTTTTACCTTGCTCCTTCATTTGTGACATATTTTTTTGCAATCTCCTTTTTTTTTTTTCTCTTCATGAGTGGGATTGTATTCCTGTTTTACTGGTTGTTTGGCCTGAGGCTTCGAACACTGGAGTTTGTAGGCTATTGGGTAGAGCTGGATCTTGCTGCTGAGATGGGGACCTCTGTAAGACCTCTCTGTGGTGAATATTCCCTAGGGTCTGAGGTTCTCTGTTAGCCCAGTGGTTTGGACTCGGAGCTCCCACCACAGGAGCTTCCGCCCGACCCCAGGCTCACAAACCAAGATCCCGCAAGCCACATGGAGTAGCAAAAAATAAAAGGGGCGGGTTGGTGGGAGGCCTTGGCTGTGGAGGGCGGGGCCTAAGCAAGGGCGAGGTTTGGGTGGTGGGTGGAGCCAATACTCAGGACCCACATGGCTGGAAAAGGCCCTGGGGGCTGTGGGGGATGGGGCTTAGGCTCAAGGAACAGAAGGGACACAGATGTGCCCCCCCACCCCTGGTCTCAGAGGGCAGCGGACCTCACCTGGGAGCCCAGCAGGCTTTCTGGGCTCTAGTGGGTGGGGTGGGGCAAACTCCCTCCCACCTCTCCTGCTCCTCCGGTCTGGGAGGGCCCCTCCCGCCTGCCTCTCCTGATCTCCCTGGCCTCCCTCCTATGCTCCCAAGGACGTGTTGGCCTGGACGGGGCATTGGAGGGCAGGGGACCCGCCTGGGAGCTCAGCAGGCTCCCCGGCCCGCGTGGGCCAGGCGATTGCCCTCTGCTCCTCTCATGCTCTTTCTGGAGAGTCCCTCCCACCTGCCTCTCCTGATCTCCCCGGCCTCAGGGACGCTGATCCTGTCTGGCCTCTACTTCTCCTCCCCCCTCAGTCCCCCTACATCCTACCAGTTCACTCTCGGGTTCTTCCCGTCTCCTTGGGCGTCAGAGTCCCCCACCAGCGGCCGGCAGGCACCCTAGTTGTGGGAAGACGCTAACTCTGCATCTTCCCACACTGCCATCTTGACACCATCTTTGCCTCCTCAAAATTTTTTTTTTAATGAATATTCGCCCAAAACCTGGCTCAGCCATAAAAATATCAGCAAAGCAGCGTGGACCCTCAGCCTGCAAACTATTTGACTTCCAGGTGAGCCCACCCCAGTATCCGAGTTGTGATACATACTCAAGTCAGCTTATTAGTCTGTTAGTTTCAGACAAGTGCTATATTGGAGAAGGTTAAACAGAAATGATGGCCTGAGTTTCACCTTTAGTTGGTCCTAAGCCATTGCTTCTTTCCATTCCCATTTTTTTGTGATTATTCAAAGTTGTGCATATTTGTCTTACTAAATTTGCACAGTGCCAGAAAGGCGAAAAAAACTTTCAAAGGAGTCACGATCCAACCACCCAGAGGCCAGCACTGTTCGTATTTGGTAAGATCGCTCTGCAGTGTTTTGTGCTGAATGTTTTTCTTTATGTGGCTGAGATAAATTTGGATCTATAATTTTACATTCTACTTACTTTGTTTAACAGTAAATATATGCAGTTACCCATGTCATTAAGAACTCTTTTAATATAATAAAATAAATTTGCAAGGATGTACTAAAATTATTTTTTTTAATCCCTACTTGTTGGATATGTAGATATTCAAACTTTCTATAAATAGTGCTACAGTGAGCAACTTCGTGTATAAGGCTTTCTAATTATCTCCTCAGAATAGACATCTAAAAAAAGTGAAATTATGGAGTCAGAGTCTAAGTCAAGGTATATGGTACTTTGTCCTGAAATACCTTCCAGCAGGAGCCAGTGAACACCCCCACCAGCTGTGGTTATAAGTTCCAGTGTCACCCTTGCCAGCATTGGGTACTACCAATTTGCTTTTTAATTTTTATTAATTTGATAGGCCGAGAAGTATGCCTTGTGTTGGTTTGTATTTCTTTAACTACTAGATAGACTGAACATCTTTTCTACTTTTAATGGCCATTTGCTTTTTTTCCTTTTGAGGATTATCAGGCAGGTCCTTTGAAACTTGGGGGTTTTTCAAGGGCAGTTATCATTATCATCTTCAGTCAGGTGTGGATGCAGGGAGTGATTATGGTTTTCATCACCTGTGGCTCCCTCCTGAGGTTAGGAAGCATGGTGTGCTGGAACCCTGTCTCGCCCTGACCTCATTTCTCAGGCAATTAAGGCTAAGGTGGTGTCTAATAATGACATGGTTGTCATTCCCTCTATTTATTTTTTAGCCCTCTGCAGTTTGCACAGTGTCACCCCGTTCATTATCTCAGGTTGAGCCTCATCACAGCCCCAGCATGTGATACCATCCCCCTTTTACAGATACAGAAACTCAGCAGCATGGGGTCATGCCTGGGACAGAGTGAGTAGTGGGTTAGGGATTCGGGGTCCTCTGACTCCACCTCCCCACCTCCAATGCTCTGTCCTCTTCCCTGCTGCCTTTAGGTGTGTGTTGATGGAATCCTGATGGCACTTTCCCAGCTGTCTTGGAAGAATGACCTGGAAGGATTGTGTGAAGGGAGACTCTTCTGCTCTCCCAAGTGTCCAGGAGGCCTCGTCAGCACTAGAGGTCTCTGCTTGGGGATCTGGAAAGGGCAGTCCATGCAGTAAAAGAAGAGAAAGTTTAAAGTCTAGGCTCATTCGGTGGAGTTTTTTATTTTTTTTCCACTCTTGGCAGAAAACAATCTGCCAGAGATTATTCAGTTTTAATTTGCTTTACATTTTGACCACATTTATTTCTTAGTTTAAAAAATATATGTTTCGGGCTTCCCTGGTGGCGCAGTGGTTGAGAGTCCGCCTGCCGATGCAGGGGACATGGGTTCGTGCCCCAGTCTGGGAGAATCCCACATGCCGCGGAGCGGCTGGGCCCGTGAGCCATGGCCGCTGAGCCTGCGCGTCCGGAGCCTGTGCTCCACAACGGGAGGGGCCACAACAGTGAGAGGCCCGCGTACCGCAAAAAAAAAAATATATATATATATATATATATATATATGTTTAATCTACACTGCTGTCCTCTGAGGTCAGGATATGCCGGCCTCCTGCTGCCCACCCACAGCCCAATGTCAGCAGCAACCATCTGAGGTACAATTATCATCCTCGTTTTACAGATGAGGAAATTAAGGCCCAGAGAGATGAAGTATTTTGCTCAAGGTCACCCAGCTAGTAAATGGGAGGGTTGGGATTTGAACCCAGGCTGTGTGATTCCAGTCTCTGTTCTTCACCTCTATATATCACTGCCTCTCACCTACGTATTCCGTGAAGATGTTCTTTGGGCTTAAAAAAAATCCACATCCCCCCTCTTTTCCCATCTCAAAATATGTGTGTAAAGGGCAGCAACTAGGAGGGGGGTCTGCAAGAATGGGGTGAGAAGTGAATCACTGTGAAAACGAATCTGTCATCTTTTGGGCAAGGGGAGTAAAGGCAGTTCAAACTCTAACTCTGTATCAGAAAGTTCGGCTCCCTCTGAAGTCCCGGGAGATACGAGGGCTGGAAAGATGCACAGGGCAGGGTAGGAGACGTCCCTTCCGGGCCGAGTGACCCAGGGCAAGTCATTCTTGCTCCCTGGGTTCTGCTGCCCTTCCTCATCTGGGAAATTGGACCCCTGCATCTTGGGGGCCTCTCCAGCCCTGGCATGCTGTGTTTGTGGGTGCTGGGGGAGATTCTGACTCAGGATGTTTTTATTAAACTCAGTACTCTTTCAATTAGGTAATTTGTTTTCCCCAAGACGCCCGTGGATTTTTCAAGTATGAGTTAAATGTTAACAGCACTGTGTCAATTGAATTAACGGTTAAAAGATTTAACAAGACTTTCTGTGTCTGTTTTCAATTTCCTCCACAGGGACGCGAGAGACAAATTTTACAGGAAACCATTCACAACTTCCACTCTTCCTTCGAGAGCAGCGCCAGCAACACCAGGGCCCCTGGAAACAATCCCTGTACGTGACCTTCCTTCCTGTGGTGACCAGCGTGAGCTTGCTGAATCTCAGTACCCCCTTCACATGGCCGGTGCTCCAGCCACCATCAGACCTTCCCCATTCCCTGAAACACACTATGTTTTTGTCACACCGCTGTGCCTTAGTCCTTCTGCCTGGAACACCTGTCTTCCCTTCCCTTCTGTAGTAGTTGGTGATGCTTGTTGCTATAACAAACTCCAACACTGTAGAGACTTACTCTCCCATACAATCCAGTATGGCTGCATCCGCTCGGCAGAAGCACACGGTGATTCAGGGACCCAGCTCCTTTCATCTGTGGCTCCGCCATTCCTGGGGCCTCAGAGGCTTTGTTTCTGGCTGGCAGAGGGGAAGGGGATGGTGAAGAAGGCACAGCCATTTCTTTACTGCTTTGCTCTTAACTGCTCACGTTCCATCGGCCACTCATAGTCACGTGGCCCCACGTGTAGTCGTTGTTCAGGTAGTGGCTTCACGGCAACAGCTCTGTACTTAGATGGGGGAGCACATGTTTTGGCAGAAGGTTAGCCACTCTTCCACATCTTCCCTTAGAACTTCTAACTTCTCCCTAATGGTCCAAGTCACCTATCAAATGAAGCCTTTCTCAACGCCCTTACACAGAACTAACTCCTCCAGCCTCTGGGGCCCTTACTGCTCCGTGTGATAACTCTGCTCTAGCACTTCACTGCACCTGCTGCAGACAGCGCACAACAGCTGTTCAGGATGTGTATGTTGAATGCGTACTTCTTTCTTGCAAAGGCAGCCTTTTATGTAGGAAAAATGGCGAGGCCCAAGGTGTGATCTTGACGGATCCCTTTTCCTTCCTGGCCTTCAGTTTCCTTGTCTGTCGTCAGGCAAGACAATGCTCTGATATTCCATGCTGCTCACCCCATATCACAGTAGGGCTTTTCCACTTTGTGTGGGAGCAGAAGACCCTAATATATTACATTGTAGAAGGACTTGGATACTCACATTTTCTAGGCAAAGAAGTGAAGAATTTAGAATTTCTTCTAAGGCTACATTCCTCAGAAGGGAATCAGCCTGTGTAGTTTTCTACAGTGTCATATTCTATGAAAAGGACTCTGACTTTTGAGTCCAGTGGGTTTCTGAAATGTCTTCAAGTGCGTAATTCATTCGACCAGCACCGCTGGGTGCTGGGGGTGCAGAGACGAGTCAGAGCCAGTCCCGACCCTTGAGGACCTGGACAGCAAGAGAAGAAAGGAATGGTGGTCCCAGCCTCGAGGGGCAGCACGGAAGAGTGGAGAAAGCGTGTGCTCTGGACTCAGGTTCAGGGTTCTGGTTCAGCCCTGCAGCTAGCCAGCTGTGTGGCCAGGGACGGGTAAGTTGGCACTTAGAGCCAGCGTGCGTCAAGCACTTGGTCCGTGGGACATGCGCAATGGATAGCAGCCTTTGCAGAGTTCTCATCTTTACCGTGAGCTCTGCCTGGCCGCATGCTGGTCTCCTTGGGAGATGTGGCCTCTCATCTCTCCCTCCCCCGGCCATGAGTGCCCATTCACCCTCTGCTGGCTTCTAGAGGGAGTCCTGACCATGTTGCCTGGAGCCTCATCGTGTTCTCCCTCTGTCCATTGATCCAGCGGATGCTGTTCCTCCTTCATCCTCCCATCTTCCCACCCATAAAAGCCAGCTTCCCACATGACTGGAGAGAAGAGGTTTTGTTTTAGCCATCACTGACAGACACCTTTATAAATGTTCCTCGCATCCCAACCCTTTTTAAGGAGACACAGTCATTGAGCACCTTCTGTGTGCAGCAGCTGGAACCCAGTGTCATCTGTCCTCACCAGAAGCCTGGAGGCTGGCATGGTTTAACCTCATCCTGCACGCTGGGGAAACAGACACGGAGGACTGGAGCTGCATGCCAGTTCCCCAGCCCGGAAGGAGTAGAGCTGGCTGAGAACCGGATCTAGTGGGCTCTGAGCCCATGCTTTTGCCACCAATTCCTATAGACTCCCGGGGCTAGAGCCACCAGGGATTCTCGCTGTTTTAATGTACTCATATCTTCAGAGACTATCGATAGGCCTAGGGTTGTTTGCCCCTGAAATACACATGGGCCCCTGAGTTAGGTGCTGTGAGGTTTTGTGCCCACTCTTTGCTGTCCTCCTGGTCTTTTCATCACCCCTATATTTGTGCAGCTTTCACTTGGGTAAGTTTGATTGAATCCCTATGATTGAATACCTGTGATACACAGGAGCTGTGCTGGGGGTCAGCATTCCACAAATGCACACCTCCACGATCTCATCTAATGACCCCAGACAGAGCAGGGCTTATTATTCTCATTTTGCAGATGGGAAAACAGGCTCAGGACAGATGCCTTTTTTGTCTTTTTCACTGGATTCAGTGGTTCTAAGGTTTTTTCTCCCGGGCAGTTTGTGTGCTGGTTGGTGAGAGATCCCCGGCGCCCTTTCTGGACCATGATCACCCCCTTCCTGGTGATACTCCAGGAGGCTCTTCTGGTCCACAGTGTCTTCCTTGCTTGATGACCATCAGCATTTCCCAAAGTGTGTTCCTTGGAACCCTAGTTCCACAGGATGTTAATAGGTTTTTCATAAAGAAAAAAAAGGGAGAGGAAATGTATGCATGACAGTGGGGTGAGGCTCTGTGATCAATAGGTTTGGCAGACACTGGATTAAAGCCCAGTTACATGATGCTTGCTGCAAGACACCTCAGAATCCTTATCACACCACACGTGGGGGCGTGTCTCTTCAAGGGGGCCATGTAGCTTGTAGCATTTCCCATACGTTTGATCACAGAATGCTGTTTCATGGCACTCTTGCAAGACTAAGGTTCATTGGACACCATTAGGGAAGCCCTACTTTGACTCGGCAGTGGCAGTCATGAGGCCTCACAGCACCTGGGAGTGGGCCCAAGGGGCCCTCAAGGCCTTCAGCTGGATCAGGGGTCTTTGGTAATTGCTTCTTTTCTTTCCAGCAGCTCTCTGCTTGGCAGTGGGACATCATGGTGAGGGAGTCCCCTGACTGAGAGAACCAGGATCCTGCTCATAGGGCTCTGCATCCAGGGCGTCTCCTGCAGAGTCAGGGACATCATTTCCCGGTGTTGGTGCAGTGTCCTGCCTGGCGAGTGCTGGGTGTCTAAGCCCTGTCCCCCAATGGCCAGGAGAAGGTTCCCATCTCCTTGCTTCAGTGCCAGACCATTACATGGAGGCGGCAAGTTTTGCCAGGAAAACATTTACTTTTTTTTTTTTGCGGTACGCGGGCCTCTCACTGCTGTGGTCTCTCCTGTTGCCGGAGCACAGGCTCCAGACGCGCAGGCTCAGCGGCCATGGCTCACGGGCGCAGCCGCTCCGCGGCATGTGGGATCCTCCTGGACCGGGGCACGAACCTGTGTCCCCTGCATCGGCAGGCAGACTCTCAACCACTGCGCCACCATGGAAGCCCAACATTTACTTTTTCATTCACTACATATTTACTGAGCATTTACCCTGTGCCCACCCTGCGCTTGTGCTTTGGATCCAGAGATGAAAAATACTCATCTCTGCCCTCAAAGAATCCACAGTATCTTAGAGGAGACAAGCATGTAAGTCAGACGTAGGGCCCGTAAGGATTCTTACAGTAAAGGCGTGTGCTGGGCCCACGGCTCTGAGGACGTCGTGGGTGATGTCTCAGGTTCAGCCTGGATGGGCTGCGTTGGAAAGACTGGGTCTGAAAGGGTAAGTCAGCACAGCTGTCAGGTGGGGAAGAGAAAGGGCTCCCCAGATGGGGGGACAGTGTGTGAGAAGGCAGGCGGCATATAACATTTCTGGGTTAAATATTATCGGGGGGTAAGTTAGATACCTGTTATTCCAATTTTTGATTCTTTTCTTTGAAATGCGTAGCAGCAGTCTGTTACCTGGAAGAGCACTGAATCTATAGTCGGTCCTAGCACTGGGTTTTGGCTCAGCCACTTCTTAATGGGTAACATATTTCTAACATTCCTTGAACCTCAGTTTCCCTTTCAGTTACAAGGGGGTAGCACTCCCCAAGGCGCTGAGTAGCAGATGAAGGTGAAAGCCCTTTTCACACCATGTGGAGCTCTGCAGATGGGAGAAATCTCCACGATGCTTGCCTGTTTGAAATACTCTGTTTCTCCCCCGCCCCACCCCGCCTCCCGCTTGCCCTGATGTAGCCAGGGCTGGGTGGGCGAGGCCAGAAGCGGCAGCCTCCAGCCAGAGGTGGCAGCAGTTTAGGTGGCTCTGCTGGTATCGGAGCCCGAGGAAGTGAGGGTTGTTGGTGAATCCCCACCCTCCAGTTGTGGCTGACTCTGGTGTTTGTGTCACTGGGATTCCCAGGAAGGTGGACAGAAAGAAGGGAGGCCTTCCAGCCTGATCACAGGGGCTGATTCAGGGGGCAGAGAGGAAGCAGGAAACCGCTCCAGTTTGCTCTTGCCTCAGAGCTGCCTAAGGACAGTGCCGTGCAGGCCAGTCCCGGGCTAGACAGCTGTGAACATCTACGCTGACCTTCCAAGAAAGCACCTTTTGAGGGCTTGGGACCCTTCCTGGGAAGATTCTGCAGCCCAGACTGAAGGTGTGAAGCACCATCTGTGCTTTGTTCAGGCAAGGTGATCATGTCTCATTAACCAACAGATCCTGTTCAGCATGTAAGGAGACCTGATGCTTTCCCTGACAAAGTCGATACCAAATTCTGAAGGACTGGCCAGGGACTGAATCTCCTTCCTGGGGGAGGTGGGTGGTGAGTCCCCTCTTCAGCTTCCTTCCTAAGGTGGGGACCACCCAGGGCCCCTCCTCAGGGCCCTCCCTACCCAATGGGTTGAGCCAGCCCCCATGAGTCTTAGTTCCTGTTGGAGCTGCCTCCCTAGGGCTCATAGACACAGGGCATGGCCATCCTCTTCCAGGAGACCTTGTTCCCACTGTCCAGGTGGCTGGGGTAGGGTTTGGCCTCAGCAGGGCCACTGGATCCTTTGATAAGAGACCAAGGTGCTGTTTTGTTTCAGCTCTACTGTGTTTCCATGTTCCTTACCATCCAACACTTCTTTTTGTTACTATTTTATTGTTTTTCCATACAGGAATTTGATTCTTTGAAGGATTTTTGTTTGCCAAATGTATATTAAATAATGGTGAGTTTGTCTTCTCACTTTGTTTTTGCTCATCGAAGGTATAAAATGCTGCTCAGATTTCTTCCAATGAGAACTGTTATGGAGCAAGTGCCTATGGTGTGCTGGGCGCTTCCGTTGCCTCACCTCCTTCATGATAATCTTGTGAGGCAGCCTTAAAATCCCCTTTCTACCAATTTGGTGAGTGTGGCACACAGATATCAACCTCACCAAGGTCACCTTGTAACAGGCGATGGTCGATTTGAATGCAGGCCTCACCTGTCAAGTCTCTCCATGCTGTCTTGCTGCCTTTCAGCACAGAGAGAAATGTTGAATTGGGATAAGCCCAGCCAACACAAAACAAATAAAACCTTGTTAGTCTGTATGGCTTGTTCACAATTTTTTTTTTTTTTTGGTGGGGAGGTGTTTATGAAATACTATAATACTATACATATATGGCTTGGAGATTCTCTTTGTTTCTGCTGAGAGTCTTTACAAGTCTGGGGCTCCCTCATCTCCACCTCTTCTGCTCTCAGTGTCTCATGTTGGCTGTGCTCAGCCCTATAGAGCATTCAGGAAGCAGAAGGTAGCATGGGTCCCAGGCCCAAAACAGGTGGAATGAGGCCAAGGTCTATGGGGAGCAAAGATACTGGGGAGACCATGGACGTAGGGCCAGCACTCCATGAGGAAGAACATTCCAGGGACCAGGGCTACCTAGAAGGGAGAACATCCCCTAGATGAGCCCCAGAGGCTGGTCAAGCCCAGGGCAGCTGGAGAGGGGAACTCAGACTTTAGATGAAGATTGGACCAGGCAAGTGTTCCCAAATGACCCAATGGTGGAGGTGACAGGAGAAAAACAAGTACAAGGCAATGAGTTTACCTGACACTAAATATACTCATTTTATGGGGTTGGCCTTGATCCTGACACAAATCCCTATTACTTTGAAGGGAGAGGGTGGTGGTAGTGGTGGTTTTAGTTTCATGGATGTGTGAAATCCAAAAGTCTGAGAAACATTGCTCTAGGTCACTTTTGAGGTCCTTTCCAGCCTCCTGAGTCTGTGAAAATCTATAAAAAGAAGGGGGAGTGGTTCCTCAGTAAGTTAAACATCAAACTACCATATGACCCAGCAACTCTACTCCTAGGTAATATACCCAAAAGAGTTGAAAATAGGTATTCAAATAAAAACTTGTATGCAGATATTCATAGCAGCACAATTCACAACAGCCACAGGTGGTAATAATCCAGATGGCCATCAACAGATGAATGGATAAACAAAATTTGGGATTATCCACACAGCGGGATATTGTTCAGCCATGGAAGTAGCGATCCACACTACAACATGGATGAAACTTGAAAACATTGTGCTAAGTGAAAGAAGCCAGACACAAAAGACCACGTATTATGTGATTCCATTTATATGAAATGTACAGAATAGGCCAATCCATAGGGATGGAAAGCTGAGATTTGGGGATTGAGGAAATGGGGAGCCATGCTTAATGGGTAGGCGATTTCCTTTTGGGGTCATGAAAAACTTCTGGAACTAGATAATGGTGATGGTGGTACAACATTGTGGATGTGCTTAATGCCAGGCCACACTTTAAAATGGGTAAAATGGTAAGTTTTATATATTTTTTGCTATAATTTTAAAAGAAGGAAGAAAAGGGGAGCTCAAGACCTGGCTGGTCTTCCACCCTTTTGTCAGTGTTCACCTTCTCCACCTTGTCCTTCAAGGTGAAGGATACATCACCATTGTAGGGTCTTGCTCTCCCTCCCCCCTCCCCCCGACACGTGTATGTACACACACCTTTCTGTCCCCTTCATCAGAGGGGTCTAGATGGGCTGCCAGTCTCAACCAGAGCCCCACACAGAAAATGCTCAGGAATGAGGTGGGGCCACCCTTGTCCTGGCTCTGCGGGAGGCAAGCCCCTTAGGAAGGTGGGAACGCTCCCTGAGGCACCATGTGCTCCCGGCCCTCCAGCTACTCCTCTGGCTCTCATTTCCTCTCTCCACGGCGCTGGGGGCTTCTCCACTTCACTTGCCCGAAGCTCTTTCAACAGAATAATTGTCTTCAATTTCCTCACAATAAGAAACACTCCCTTTGGGTCACAGACGAGGGTTTTCAGAAGCGCTTCCGCGTTGGCCTCGACACTCGCTCCACCGAGGGTGGGGCCCCAGCCCCATCGACGCCCACTTCCGCCCACTTCTCCCACCAGCCCCTGCGCTTCCGGTGAGACGGCCGCAGCCTTCCTCCGCCCAGTCCCGCTTTCCCTGCCGTGCCACAGGTGTCCCTCCCGAGACCAGTGCTTAAACCACGTGCTGCAGGCAGTGGCCACGCACAGTCTGCTCCTGGGGAACCCGGCCTGTGAGCCAGCGCTTTGTTAAGTTTAAGGCTGTGCGTGTGTGGAGAGGAACTTCAGCCATAAAGAAGGACCTAGAATTGGAGACTTCACACTAATGTTCCCTCAGTTTCTGTAGCTTGACTTCATCCATGAGGGGGCCTCAGGGCAAACTGATTTTACTAACTCCTCATGAGGGACAGTGGCCGAGAGCCTGAGTCAGACAGAATCCTCCGAGGGAATGTCCGTCAGGCCACCTGGAGCCGCAGGCTCGCGGGGAGGCCGTGTGCATGGTGACAGCTTCCTCAGGTAAGCGAACTCTGTTTCTCGCCATCGCACGGAGCGAGGGTTGACGCACTCATTCAGCAGACAGCCGCTGATGGGGCACTGGGGATGCCCAGAGGGCAAATCAAAGCCCCTGCCTTTGTGGAGCTTATGATCCACTGGGGTGATAACAATCCTGGCTCCCAGGGCAGGACAAGGGTTAACTGAGATAATGCGAGTCAAGGATAAGTGTCTTGGGGCATCAGCCGATTCTAATTGCTCATTCCCTCTCCCTGTTGCTTGAGAGTCAGGGCCACATGAGCTCTTCCTCACCAGCTGCAATGCAGGGGGACGTTGTGCTCTGCTGGGGCCGCAACTCATTAATGCAGCCGTGTTAATGAACCCTGAGCTGGTAGCAGTTAGAGGAGCTAGGTTATGGACCTAAGACAGGGCCAGGGATGCACCGGCCAAATGAAAGAATGACGGAAAATATTTGTTTATTGCATAGCAATGAATTTAACACACGTAACTCAGTTTACAACCCACAATTGTATAAGGAAGAATTTAGAGCAAAGAAAGAATTGGAGAAAAAAGCACAAGATGCAGACTGTGTTC